AGTTAAATTATTAGTTGATCGTGGCGCTGATATACATTTGAAGGCTAACTATTCGAATTCATCAATTTACGAAGCATTTCCTTTTGAGCATGAAGATTGTAAACTTTTCATTTATTTTTTAGGACTTAAAAATTTACGGCTAGACTTAGATGCTGCGAAACACATTATGTATTCGTGTGCCCAGTTTAACGAACCACATAAGCTGATTATTCTTCTTCAGTATATCGAAAGATTAAATTCAAAGGATCGCTTGAGATATGAATTGGACATAAATATATTTAACAATAGCAAGTTGAAAGAACCACTCATTCACCTCGCTGCTCGTAATAGTTCAGTAACTTGCATTGATTTGCTCATCAGGAATTATGTTGATGTTAATTTAAGAAATCATAAAGGCCGAACTGCACTTCATGTCGCTTTTCGATATCGCAAATTTGGTTCTATCGTAAGTCTTATCAGAAATGGAGCCGACATACACATTACGTGTAATGAAGGTCATTCAGCTTGTCATTACACTTTCGATAAAAAAATACGAGAGTCACGTTTTGATACTGGTGATGATGAGACGAGTTTCGAAGATATCAATAACTTTCAAGAAAGTAGTCTTAATGAGATTGTTAATTATTATGGCTATCTTATCATCAAACTAAAATATCTTAATTTATTTGTCGATAGCAGCAATTATAATTTTGCAATCAATGAATTGAATGATCCATTCAAGCATCAAGAAAAGTATGAAAAAGAAGTGCAGAGGATGGAAGAAAAGATAATTCACAGCTCGATACCTTACATAACTTACTACAATTTTGTCAAAGCCAGTTTGAACCGGCGAATTAATTTCCTGAACAATTCACAAATTTTCACGGTTTTGAATTCAAGAAAGAATTATGCTTCAAAGTTTCCTCAATTTGCAGATATAATTAATAATTTGTTTCATCAAGCGCTCGTCAGAAAAAAATTATTGGACAAAATTAACAATTATCCAATTTTTAAATTTTTAAATAAAAATTTACCTGATCTTTGCGTGGAAGAAGTAATCGGTTATTTTAGTGATGCTGAACTCAAAGATGTAGTTAACATGTACACATTTTTCGACTAGTTATTTGCATCGCTGCGGATATTTTCTATTAAAACTTAACTATTTAAAGTCTAGATTATATTTATTATGTTTAACTTTTTTTCAAAATAATTTTCAACATTCATATAAGAATATATAATCTTAAATCGTTGAAAATATAGCAACTTTTAAAATATTGGATAAAAGTGTTTTTAGTTTTAGTTAAATTTATATTTTACGAGAAATATGCATGAAATTATAATTATCATTGAAATAAACTTTTTGATTATTTTTACTTAACTAATTACAATTGTTTTTTATTAAAAATTCTTTGAATAAGTTATAATGATCGCTAATGAGACTGAAGTTAGCAGACACCTTGAAAAATTATCTAATACCCTGACGGATCCAAAGTGCGGCATAGAAAATTATTTATAAAAATGTCATTTATAATTTCTCAGAGCTTCTAAAGATGAAATTCTTAAATATAATTTTCTTGCTATAATTTGTTTGTTAAAAAAATTATCAGATATGTCTCTCAACTTCAGTGTCATTGATAGCTAGAGTGTCTTTTGTTTGTTTTTTTTTCTTGATTAGTTACCTTTAAATTGTTTATTTGTTTACTGGTATAACTACGATTGAATAATAAATGAAAAAAATTTATTTTTCAATCGATTTTTTTTTATAAAATTTGAAGTGCAATTTTTGAAAATTGTAAAATTTCTTACTTCATTGTTAACAACTACGGCTGATTACAAATTTAAATTGGCGAAGATTATAACCTCGATGGATTTTTAGTTATAATAAATAAGTAAGTGCATTTATATATTTGATATCCTGGAATGGAAAAAAAGTAATAGTAATAAATAACAAATAATAAAAATATAGTTTTTTATAGAAACCTGACCCTTTGAAATGGAGAACGCATTTTTTACAATTAGTAATATTCAGACATTATTTACTAAAATGTTCAAGATTTTTGGTATGGTGATATCTTTCGTTAGTTCATGCTCAGAGTATTGGTATAAAGCACTGTGTTCAATTTGTAGAATTAATAGGCAAGATGATATTATTGAAATTTCGTATCAATTGGATTTCATCCAAGTGAAAAATATTCATATAGAAATTGAAAATATGCTACAGCATTGGATTTTAATTAATGACACTCACTTGAAGGAACAAGTGAAACTTTTTAAAGATTTCTTAGATAAATCACCAGACATAATTGAAGAAAAATTGTTTAGACAAATCTTATTTAATGTTGCACTAAAAGCTAAAGATTATCCTGCGCTGAAAATTCTTGTTGATCATATATCTAATAACAATATTAACGAAAAAATCTACTATATATTTTACTATTTAATTTAATGCATGGAAGCTATTTTGATCTTGATGTTGAAAAACTATTAACAAAATCTACTCATTTTGATATTAATAAGAGGATGATAATGACAGGAGTTAATTTGCTAAATTTAGCCATTGAGAAGAGATGGTACGAAGTGGTCAAAAGCCTTTTAAATCGAGGAATCGACATAAATTACTATGATAAATCTCGTAGAGACATAGTGAGACAGCTATTTATAAGGCATGCGAGGTGGGTGCTCTTTGTATTGTAAATTTTCTCTTGGATAATGGAGCAAATTTCGACATTAATGTGAGTAAAGAGGGCAACATTTATTGTCCTATCCATATTGCTATTGAAAATGGTCACCTAGACATTGTTAAAGAACTTCTTGATCGTGGAGAAGATGTTAATAAAAGCTGTGAACGTAACTCTGGAACGAAGTCACCAATGTTACTATAGACGTTTAAATATCGTTGGATTGTTATTGAAACGAGGTGCTGATGTAAGAATTGATCTGGACACTCACGATCAACTATTTGTACAGGCATTTCCTCTTGATTCATACCGTATTAAAAATGAAGAAACTGATATCTTCATTAATCTCTTAGGACTTGAAAATGTTCAGCTGGATGTAAGCGATCAAAACTATCTAGATGAAATTAAATTTTCTAACTCTCGTAATGATAAAACACATAAACCGATTCGAATTACCGGATACGTAAATCGATTACTTTCAAAAGATTTTTTGAGATTTCAATTTGAAATTAAGATTATCAATAATGAAAGTTTATGCCTACCATTAATCTATACAGCTTCTTGTAATAATTTGACAAGGTGCATCGACTTACTTGTAAAGAATGACGTTAATATCAATTTAAGAAACGAAAAAGGTCGAACTGCTCTTCATATTGCTTTTCAATATCGAAAACTCAATTCTATCCAAAGTCTTATTATCAGAAATGGAGCTGATGTTAATATTTTGTGCAATGAAAATTATTTGGCGGTTGATTATGCTTTTGTTGAAAAAATTCGAGAATCGCACTCTATAACATAAGGAGAGAAGCTGTGTTGGTCTTTTTATTGATCACTATAAGGATGAGGATGATATATCAACGATATTATTAAGTATTATGGATATTATATTATCAAAATGAAGTACCTTGATTTATTCGTCCATGACAATCATAATAATTATGTAAAAAATAAAATAGAAGATTCGTTTGAACATCGAGAAAAATATGAAAAAGAAGTCGAAAAAATGAAACGAGAAATAATTAGCTGCGACATACCTTACATAACTTATTACAATTTCATCAAAGGTAGCTTGAACCGGCGAATCAATTTCTTAAACAATCCTCAAATTTTAAAGGTTTTAAATTTGCAAGACAATTATGCTTCAAAGTTTCCTCAATTTGCTGATATAATTAGTAATTTGTTTCATCAAGCGCTTCCTAGAAAAAAATTATTAGACAAAATTGATAAATATCCTATTTTTATATTTTTATATGAAAATTTACCTTATCTTTGGGTAAAAGAAGTTATCGGCTATTTTACAAACAGTGATATGAAAAATGTGATTCATAAACATACTTTTTGTGATCACTGATTTTTAAAATAATTTTATCTATAAAAATAAAGTTAGCCGACATTTCAAAATTTTTAGAAATTTTTTTATTGAAAAAATTTCAATTAAACAATTAAAAAAAAAATTTCACATGTAAAAAACTTGAAAAACTATAAGTGCAATTTTTCATAAATATTTTTTTTTCACATGTAAAAAACTTGAAAAACTATAAGTGCAATTTTTCATAAATATTTTTTTAGTTGTAATTTAATTAATAAAAAAAATGAAAATTTTTAGATGTCTACTAACTTCAGTATCATTTTTATCTTGATATTTAAAACATTCGTTGAAAGTACATTTTTATATTTGATTGGAAATAAAGTTTATATGAAAATTAATTTAGAAGATATTTTTTTATAATTTTTCTAATAAATAAATTACTGGATCAAAAAAATGAGAAAAAAAATGGACATTTAGAAATTTTAATAAATTAAAAATGAAATTTTTTGGAACAAAACTTTTTGTTAAATAAAGTTAAAAAATGGTCAAGTGACAGCTAACTTTAATATCATAAATTTTGTCACAATGATCTGAACTATCATTTACAGATATAAAATTTTTTATTGTTAATTTTTATAATTATTTCTTCTTTTTATTTTTAATCATTGGAATCAATTAAATTTTAATTTGTAAGTACGCGGCTGTTTTTAATCGATAGGCAACAGTCGACTTGGAGTTACTGCAGCAGTAAGCAGTAGGTATAACCTCATGTGATTCAGGGAGACGAGTTCTCAATGCCTGGAAAAAATTTCTGACACGTCCTCCGGGCTGGAGTTCACTGACAGTGACTTAGAGATTAGATAAATAAGATAAAATAAATTTTTGTCATTTTAATTTAAATATAATGTAGATCGTTATCAATGATGTATAACGGTGTTTTTTATTTTTTTTATTTTACACCGTTAAGATTTTTTATAGATACTAAATAGTATAATAAATAAGTAAATAAAATAATTATAATATTAAATAGCACAATGGCTTTTTCTGTAAATATTTCGGTGGAAGCGCCGATTGAAAATCAAATTCAAGAAATAACTTATGATGGTCAAGAGATTTATCAAACGTGAGTTTACTTTTTAAATAAATTTAATAAAATTGTAATTGTAATGACAATAAAAAATTTTTATATTCTAGGCCACTTACTATTTCGGAAAACTTGGCTAAAATTGCCCAGAGAATAGATTTCAGCAAGACGAGTACATCAGAAAGCGATGATGCTAGTACTGACAAAGTAGAGAATGGAGAAAAGTCTGATAAGCAAGATAATCAAGATTCCAAAGACTCTTTCGCGCAGCAAAATTCCCTCTGGCCATGGGACAGCGTGAGATCGAAATTGAGGTAAAATTATTAATCCAATTTAATGAATCATGCTTAAAGATATAAACTATTCTTCATTAACAGTGTGAATGTTTATCAATAAAACAGAAATGCCTTGACTGAAGTATGTGTTCTTGCCGACGTTTTGGCGATAGCGAAAGAAAAGCGGTATTTAGTACTTGATCCAGTGCCTCAAGATCCTCCAGAGGTGAAGCCTATGGTCCAAGTTTACGCCAGGAAAAAAGCCCTGGCTGGTGCTGCGAACGTATTGCTAACTGGAGTCGAGAGATTGCGAAATAGTCAAAATGAACTTGCAAGAAACAGGTCGACGCCCGATTTTCATATTGAATTATTGAGGCTAAGACAAAATTGGCGACTGAAAAAAGTATCTAACTCTATAATCGGTGATCTTAGTTACCGAACGGGTAATTATTTTTTTTTTTTTTTTTATTTTAGTTTAGTTTCTTTTTACACGACCCAACAGCCAAATGGCCAATAACAGAGTCTCTGATTTTAATATAGTACAAAGTTATAAATACTGCGTTGATTAACAATTATTTAAGTTAGACTAAGTGCGCAATACATAAGTATACATTTAAGGTTGTTAAAGTAAGTTTATAGGTGATAATAAATTAAATTTATTAAATTTGTAATAGTATAATGTTTAAAAAAAATTGATAGTATTGAATTACAAAGTTTTTATGATTATCAGAGACAGGTAAGATTAACAACATAAACTAGTATTAGCAAAAATTATTTGAAATTGTTTTAAGTCATCTAAAATTATCTAAATATTAAAAATTATCTACTAATATTTAATTTAATTACTAATTATATAAATTTTAAATTATTTTTAAAATTATTGATGACAATTAACAATAACTCTATTGACAGCTGGATCTAAGTACACTCAAACCGGAATGTTTGAGGTAACTAAAGCCGAAGAGGATGAAAAAGTACCAGTGTGTAGTCCTCCAGTCTCTCCGAACCCATCTGCCTCACCAGCTGCAAGTACTGCCTTAGGAGGACCTGGGACCAGTAATGTACCTTCAGTATCTTCACCAATAGCCCCCTCAGCAACGTCAACGCAGTCGTCATCCTCAAAAAGTTCTTCCTTACGAGTTACCATTCCCAGTGAACTCCAAGGCGTAGCGTACATAAAAGTTCTCTGTCAAAAAGACCAAGAAGATTTGTGCAGCTCCAATATAAATTTACTAACTGCAACTGTACCGAACACAAATGCTGACATGCACTGGCAGCAAAAACTCGAGGCAGCTCAAAACGTATTATTTTGCAAAGAGTTGTTCAGTCAGCTGGCCAGAGAAGCGGTTCATCTCAGAGCGCCGATTCCTCATATGGTAGTCGGCAACCAAATAATGGCAACAGTACTTCCCGGGATACAGTTAATAATCGGACTGTGTCATGGAACCGGGAATGAAAAAAAACCTGCATCCTCGACACCGCCACCAGTACACAATGCAGAGCATGATCACGTGCTCGAGCATTCGCTGCATCAATTATTGCGAGAAGTTCATCATAAAAATACTCATCACCCCTTTCCTCATCCGTCTTCCGGGCCACTAGGGCCCAGTAAACGTCGGCGTATCGCTGGACCAACGGCTGCTGATCGGTATGAATTACTGGAGATGACCAAGAGCCATACTATTCTTGAACAAATCATCCAGCAGGCTCAGCATTTCTTCATGAGAGTGCGTACTGAGTACGTCCTGGATACAATTGCTAAAGAAGTTAAAGACCCGTTGATTGTTTCACATTGGAATGCTCTTAATTCTCCAACTCAGTCTTGTGTTAAAATAAATATTTGGACCAATTCATACGATACTGTTTGTCGGACGTCTTTGGTAGTTCATGTAGGAGAAAAGTCATTAAAGTGTGTCTGCAGGGATGGAAGAGTTATGCATATGAGCTATGAGCCACAAGAACTTAGAGATCTTATATTTTGTCAAGTAATTTGAATTTTTAATTTTTTATATTTTATTTTATTTTATTTTAATATTTAGCTTATTTTTTTAATAAAAATTTACAGATTCATCAACATCAAATTACGGCAGTTCAAAATTTAGCGAAATGTATGGGCTGGCAATTTTTAGCTAACAGCTCGCACCTAGGGCTGGGAGCTGTTGAACCGCTGGGCAATGCTAGCAGCTGCATACTCGCATCGCCGATCGGTGATCGCATGATTGCCGTCAGATGCGAACCACAGAGTGGCGTGCAAGTTTCAATAGCCCACTCTCCACGAAAAGACTTCTTTCCTGGACAGCTGGTGCGTGAACGAAAGTGGGAAAACCTTGGTGGTTCTTTCAAAGAAGTCCGTTGGAAAGACATGGAGGGAAAGAATTTTTGTAATAAAATGGAATTACTTATGGCGTCGCTAACGAGTTCACAAAATTAAGGAGAATCTTAATTAAAAAAATAAAAACGCTGGAATATTTAAAAGTTACTTTATCCCTTTATTATTTATAGAATAATTAATCATTTTAGTAAGAGTGATTTAAGAATTTTAGTCAATAAAAATAAAATTTTTAATGATGACAAATAACATTTTTAAGGTATTAAATTATGTTCATTTTATTTATTATTTAATTTAAATTAATTTATATTTAATGATTTTAATGAATTAAAAGAATTTTTTTAATGAAATGTGATTTTTTAATATGAAATTTATCGCTATGTTCTTCATGCTAAAGACCTAACATTATTTAATCAATCCAATTATGTATAGTGTATATAAAAATAATTTATCAATAAATTTGTATAATAATATTTAATTATCCAAACAAAATACTTATTTTATTTTTATAAATATTAAAATTTTGTCTTTTAAAAAATTAGCAAATACTCAATTCATAGCTCAGATTATTTCCTATAATTAATAAAATTAAATGAATAAATAATGAGTATAATTTTTTTACTCTGAATTAGAAATCCCTGAGGGAACAAATTATTCCAATTGAGGAAATTCATATTATGTTTGAAATATTTTATGACCCAGCTTACGCTGGGTACGACAAAAAATTGTCATATAGACTCATCAGATGTTCCCCTCCACGAAAATCTTTAGTAAAAGGCGAAAGATTTATACGTGTTTCTGAGGGGAAACCAGAGTAATTAATCGATCCAAAAAAATATGGATTTTAACAACTCTGAATCAAGTATACTCAAACGAGCTAAAGTTATTACTTTGCGCCACCTGTCGGTGTAGCCATGAAAATTATTGAAATTTATTTAATTTATTGGTAAAGGGAATTCAATTGAAAAATGAAACGAAGGAATATCAACGAAAAATGTTGTATCTGTTGAAAAACGATTTTGGGATAAAGCACGTAAAAATAAAAAAAGTACTATACAGGTAAATAAATATAAATTAGACGGTAAAAGAGAATCACTTTTGAAAGCTGCACAATCACTCCAAAGAAAGAAAATCGAAGATGCAATAACTCCAAAAGTAAAAGAAGAAATAAGATTTTAAATAAGCCGAGAAGAAATTCCCTTTTAATATAAAGAAAAAACTAAGAAAAAAAAATCAGTTGGTTATTATCATCCACCACAATGGTCTCAATTACTACAGAAAAATTCAATGACTGTTTGTTTTGTTTTATTTTTATTAATTAAATAATACATTTAAAAAATAATACGAAAATTTGATTGAATTACAATAAATATTACAAAATCCTGCTATTTAAATACAATAATTGAAATCAAGTGATTATAATAATTAATCTCTTTTGATGAGCGTGAAGCACTTGGGGACATTTTGTATCTTACCACCGGCTACTTTAAATGCCAGTCCCATTGTAATTATAAGTACTGTGTATGAAGACAGCAAACTATAAGTATACGCTTCGTATCTATTTATCAACGTCATACAGGAGACGAACAAGTGAGACAAGACAACCCAGGCAATGTGTGTCCACTTTTTTTCATCAACTGCTGAGAAAAATATCACGCCCCAGAATGTGTGGAGTAAAATGAAGCAAAGAGTCGTGGCAGCCGACATTATGAAGAAATATTCAGAGCCTTGTTTGAGACCCATCGTCCCAGGACCCACAGCATCTGCCAAAACATTCACCAGCGCAAAGGCTCCGCTCATGAAGCCGAAACCTAGACCACATACGTACGCAAAAACGTGTCTGCTGTTTGCCAGGTGAGCTGTCGTTACTTTTTCCAATCCTTTTTCAGCTTTTCTCAGAACCCAGTATAATAAATATCTGTAAGAAAAATCAATGATGTTAAATATTATGAAAATTAAGTTAGCCGACATTTCAAAATTTTTAGAAATTTTTTATTGAAAAAATTTCAATTAAAAAATTAAAAAAAAAAAATTTAACAGGTGAAAAACTTGAAAAACTACAAGTGCAATTTTTTAGAAATATATTTTTAGTTGTAATTTAATAATTAATAAAAAAAAATCAAAAATTTTTAGACGTCTGCTAACTTTAGTGTCATTAAATATTTAGTACTTCCAAGTTCTCGTCCATATTTAAAATATTTAAATAACTTAATCTTGGGAATTTAGACAATAATAATATATATCAAAGATGCTGCTAGTCATAGGATTTACCTGATGAAGCTGAAATAAATCAGCGAAACGTTGAAATTCTTATAATTTAACATCTTCATTTATTGTCCAAATTCCCAAGATTAAGTTATTTAAATATTTTAAATATTTAGGTTGATATTGGTTAAAGGTGAGTAAAATTTGGAGTAAAATTACCTGAAGGCTTCTTGGAATAAAACTGAAAAGACCAGACCGAACGCCAGGTAATTCTGGAGCGGGACCACTGCATACCAGAGTATCGACGAAAACAGCAAAGATATCAGCCAGAAAAACGCACTGGCAATCAGGATAATTATTCTTATTGGCTCCGAAGATACTGTTATAGCAAACATTGCCAGTGGTGGTCCAAATGCCAGTAAAGCACAGCCAAAAAAATCTAATGCTGTCATTATTATGCTTTTATGTCAGCTTGTAAGGTTAAGTCTTAGTAAATATTTATATTTATAAATGTCAAGATAATTTAATTTAGTCTTATACTCATTGATAATTAATAGTTTCACTATATTATCATTATCACATTATTGTCTTGAATAATTTATTAAATTATTATAACTTATAAATTATTTTTATATATAAGTTGTTTAACTTTTTTCACTGACATATTAGTCCATTGTATAGTATACGCTTTACGCTGATGAAAGTATTATTTACAAATCGGACATATTCGTAACTAGTCGGAAAAAAAAAATGGTAGAGGTAGATTTAAAAATATAATTATTTTCATCATTTTCAAGACTGTCATAGATTTTCTAAGAAATGTTTAATTAATAGTTTAATTAATATAAAATAAATTATAAGAAGAAATATAATTGTACTGCAATAAATCGCATGATCTCAAATTTATAAAATTTTATTATAACCTCAAAGTGTGTTTACGTTATTTTTTTAATTTTGCAGTAAAAAATTAAAGTTATTAAATTAAATTATATTAAAAATGAGTTTTGAATCAACGAAAATAGATGGTTCATGTTTTTCCATGTGTTCAGAAAAAGAACTACGCATGTGAGTATTTTTTTACATTTTCACTTTGCACTATTGTGTTACTAATTGTTTATTAATTGTTTACATTTTTCAGGAGGGAAAAAGAAGGGTTGTTGAGTATTTTGGAGGTCGATGACAAAACTAGGAATAGCAAACATACAAAAGCAGACCCCGCGAAAGCAATCAAGTGTTATCAAAGGTCCAGCGCTGGAAAGTCATTTGCTGATGAACCCAGTGAATTACGACCAGGACCAGTACTCGTACTTACCGTCAATTACTTGTTCAAAAAGTATGATTAAAAATTTATTCCTCATTAAGTACTCGTGGGATGATTCTTATGAATTAAATTTACTTTTTACAGAGTGTTGTTACGAAAAGACGTCGATTGGTCGATAATTTATGAGTTTGCCTTCGATCGAACGAGAGGAGTTAGACAGGATATGATTATTCAAAGATTAGATGCACGATGGTGTATCAGAATCTTAGAACCAATTGTCAAATTTCATATCTACGCTGGTGAAAAGTACTAAAAATGAATTAATTAACTAAAATTAATAAATAAAATTAATTAATTAATTAATTTTATGATACTGAAGTTGGTAGACATCTAAAAATTCTTTAAATTTTTATAACAAATCAATCATAAAAAAATATTTTAAAAAATTTCCTTTGTACAATTTTTTTGCTAATTATTTTTCATTATAATTAAATTGTTATAAGAATTTTTAAAATTGTTAGATGTCTACCAATTAAATTCAGTATCATAACTATGAAAATTAAGTTAGCCGACATTTATAATAATTTTTTTTATTAAAAAAATTAAAAAAATTTTCATTTGTAAAAAACTTGAAAAACTTGAAAAAGTGCAATTTAAAAATATTTTTTTGGTCCAATTGAATAAATGGAAAAAAAATTAGAAACGTCGGCTAACTTTAATAGTATTATTCATAACTAAGTATTAATAACTTCTGTTTTAAACATTTTGTTTTTAGGATGCGCGAAAGACCTTTAAGTGAATTTGTTCCAAAATTCAACAATCAGCATTTGTTAGAGTGCATCAAGCAGTTGCTTGTACTGTACGATGACACTGATTATGCAAACGGTGCTGAGATTGATGACGGAAAAGATGCAAATGAACAATTCAAGCACAGATGTGATATTGAAGCTGTGTATCTTCTGCTTTTTTTGGGTGAACAATCGGCTCTTTCACGAGGATTGTCTCTTCCTAGTTCTTTCAAGTATAATAATTAATGTCGATGAATTTTCATAAAATATAATTATCTCTCAATGAAGTAAATGAAAATTATAATTACAGAAAGTCATCAGTTGTTCAGCAAGCATTGCAGATATCTCTTGCATGGTATTTAAAAAATTATGTACAAGTATGTCGCAAAGTATTTCAACTGTCTCCTTTACTTGCAATGGCTATTTCAAACAATCTCAGCTCTATCAGAAGGTAATTGTTGATAATTATAATGTAAAATTGATTTAATCAACTTTTTTTTTTTTAACGTAGGGATGCTGTGCAAATAATGAGCGCTGGATACCAGAGCAAGAATCTTGTTTACCCCATTGAAAAATTCAAAGAGATTTTACTTTACAATGATGTTAAAAAAATATCAGAAGATTGTAAACTTTTGGGTTTACAACTAGTTGATAAAAATATTCATTTTAAAAATTGGTTAAGCAAAGCACCATTAACAACTCCAGAGAGATTATTCAATGATACTCACCTTGATGAACTTTTACCAGATATTATTTTTGAGTAAAAACAAATAAATGTTATTTTGTATCAAAAAACTTGTACGACTTTTATTATAAAAAAAAAGAAACTATATACACAAAAAAAGCGTTTAGAAAAATAATTAAGTGATGATGGAAATTTGAGGCATAAATTTACTGTGAATCACTGGAAGAACTGCTGGATGAATCGGTGGACATAACTTCAACGTCTTCATTTTCCTGTTTGTGGGTATTGATAGGCACACTTCCTTGTCCAGCACCTCCACCCATGGTAATGTTCATTGATTCTCCGGATGGGTGCCAGGCAAATTGATTTGCTAAAGACGCGGGTGGTTCTATTATCAAAAAATATTCCAAGTAAGCGATTGAAAAAAATAAATAAATAAATAAAAGCATCATTAATAATATTTATAAAATAATAACCTGGGTGACTTCCAGTACCGCTGCCTGCACCAGCTCTGTGTAAGTCAGCCGGCATTCCTGGATGAGATCCTAGTAATGAACCATTGAGAGGTAAGTCGCTAAGACGTCCCAGGTATCCTAGTCTCATTTCGATGTCTGTAAAAAAAAATAAAAAAATAATTTATTGACACTAGAAAAAATTTTTATTGAAAAAATAATTGTAAAAAAATTAAAAAAAAAAATGTTCATTCATAAAAAAATTGAAAAACTATAAGTGCAATTTTTTAAAAATATTTTTTTAGTTCTAATTAAATGAATGAAAAAGAATTAAAAAAAAACTATTTACAATAAAAAAAATGCTTATAAAAATTTCGACTAATAATTTTTAAATGTGGAATTTTTTAATTAAATTTTTTTACATAAGAATTTTATTGCTATAAGATACTAAAAAAAATTTCTAATGTCTGTGAACTTGAGTGTCATAAAAAATATGAGTTTTACTTACCAGTTGGATACGGTCGTCTGGGATCACCTTGTTGCCAAGTCAAAGGGGCGCAAACAGCATTTGAAGCACTGATTCTATGAGCAAATTTAATAAGCTCCTCAGAAGGTACTGGCTTTTTATTAGCCTGCGCAATTGACTCGAGTTTCTGCTTGGCTTGATAAATAGCCGTCGCCAAAATTTGTTCAGCTTCCTTAAGTTGACGCTGCAACTGCTGGATATCCTGGTCCTGTTTGTCGACCTCAGCTTTGAGAGCTTCCATTTTAATATTTATTTTTTCTTGCTCAGCAGCCTGCTTGAGCATTGATTTTAAATCATTGTTTTTAGCGACTAACAACTGCACCAGCTGACCGTATTCTGTCCCTGATAATTTAAGATGCTTTTGAGCAATTGTGTTCTCAATCATTTCTCTGAAAACAAGTCAATTTTAATACATAATTCTATTCATAACCAAAAGTAAATTGAATTATCATTACTTACTTGGCAATCAGCTCCATGTCATCAATAAGCGACAGTAAAATTTGACGAGTGCTTTTGTTGGTAGCCATAATGAGTTGGGTAAGTGTAAAATAATTTAATTAATAATTATAATTAAAATAATTAATAACACTAAAAATTATTTTTATAGTACATATATAAACACACAACACAAGCTAAACACAACCTAATGATTATCACCACAAATTTATCATTACCAACATTGAAAATGTATTAATTTAACTGTCAGTCACACGAATGAAATGACACTGAATATATAAGTTGACAGACATTATAAATTTTTTTAGAATTTTATAGCAATGAAATTATTATGAAAAAAATTTAATAAAAAATTCCACATGTAAAAATTAATAAAAATTACAAGTAAAAATTTTTAGAAGAATTTTTTTATTGTAATTGATTTGTTAAAAAAATTTTTAAAATTGACAGCTGACGGCTAACTTCAGTATTATCACACGAAGATGAAGACTCTTAGGATGAACAAGCCGAAAAGAGCCGAAGCTGATCGTTTGGTTACCTTGATTTAAATCTATAGGAAGTTAGTGATTGCGCCAGTGGTGACTATAGCGAGGACATGAAAAGACGACACCGGGATAGTTCACGTTCTTCTCACATCTTTCTGCCCCTCCCGCTTTTGTGATATTTTATCCAACATCCTGTGTCCGCAGCCGCTCTATACAGTTTTTATCTTCCACAGCGTTCTCTATCATTCCCTCGCTATATATTGATTAATTTGGAGTTTAAGGTACATATCTTTATTCTATTGTTGTTGTAATTATTTATATTTATTTTTTTATTAGTAATCTATGAAAAAATTGATAACTTCAGTAGATTATTTACTGTAAAAATTTATTTAAAATATTTACGTATAACTCGTTTACTTCTACGTTGTGATTTGTGACAATTTTGACGACTCGTATTGTCATTTTGGTTTTTCTCCTCTAGTAACTAATAATAATAATAATAATAGCAATAGTAGTAGTAAAAATAAAAAAAGTTTTTAATAATAATTTATCTGTATATTTTAGTAATTATTATTTTATTTTTCCAGATTAAATAAAAAATATAAAAATAAATAGCTTGCATTGTAGTGAGAAAAAAAAAAAACATAATAATAATGACGCCGGAGGGTTATACGCGAGTGTACGTTGGCGGTCTGACTGAAACGATTAAGAAGGAAGATTTACAAACAGAGTTTGAAAAATTTGGGAAGCTAAATAAGGTATGGGTTGCGTTTAACCCGCCAGGTTTTGCATTTATTGAATTTTTGCGGGTCGACGAAGCTGAATTGGCTTGCAGTAGCATGAATGGAACCGAAATATTGGGAACAAAGTTGAGAGTTGAAATTTCCCGTGGTCCCGGTCGAAGTAGAAATAGAGGTGGCGGCGGTGGCGGCGGGGGTGGCTTCAGAGGCCAATCTGGCGGCGGCAGAGGCGGTTTCGGCGGGTCACGTAGATCTTACGGCGGTGGTGGTGCCGGTGGTGGTTATCACCGTGATAACAACTCTTACGGTAATCAAGGCGGCAATAGTAATAGCTATCACTCAGGCAGGGCGGGTGGTGGTGGTCCGAAATACAGCAGTAGAGGCAGATACGGAGGTGACAACAATTACTCCGGAGGAAGAAACAATTCCGGTTACATGGCCGGTGGTAATTCTTACTCACAAGGATACAACAATTCGTCTGGCAACGGAGATGCTTCTGTTGACTATTATAATAGAAGAAATAAGGATTCCTCAGGAGCTTCCTCTAGATACCGCAATCGGTCACCGGCTGGACGCGGCAGGTATACGTCCAATACAACAATAATATCATTTTCTCTAATTATCATTTTATTATTCACTGTTTTTAGAAAAAATTTTTTTTTTAATTCTATTTATTTTACAACTACCCAGTTTTTAATAAGGTAGTTTGGGTGCCAAATGACTTCAACTTGACCCCATATTGTTTTATATTCATTCGAAAGATTATGATTTAATACATCTAAAGGAAAAAAAATCAGATTTTTTACGACACCGTTTAAGAGATATAATTAATTAAAGTTTTGCAAAAATACACAATCTCTTATGAGTGTCCTTGTTCAATAACTCCGGAAATGGAGGATTTATAAAAAATCGGCCAACTTGACCCCATAAAAAAAACTTTCCAATTGATAGAACAATGTTTCATACATATTCTATCAAAATTTGATAACTATTTACCATATAGTTTTAATTTAATTGATTTTTTAATATCAAAAATTGGTTTCTATCTTTGTTGTTTGTCGGAGACATTACTCCCTCATATTTATCAGGGGAAAAATGGCGACTTCTCGGTACGCGGCAAATTTGAAATTGAAATATAATCATAAAGTTTTTTTGCATTAAAATAAAATGTTATAAAACATACATTATAATAATAATTATAATTATTTAACCATAATTATGAATGGAATTTATTCAATTAAATTCTGATTAGAAATAATTTTATACTTTATGCTATTTTTCGAGTGATCACTTGCAAAAAAGAAAAAAAATATCTATTAATTTGACCTTGGATTGCGACGACCAAACTACCTTAACGAGCAGTCATTATATTACTGCTATTTTATTCTACCTTTGTTTAATTTACTCTGAAATATTTTTTTTTAAAAACGTCTTTACATCTACGAGTGCATGTGGATATTACTTGATATACATTATAAGTACTTTAAACTGTCTTCTTAATCTTCGAATAGCAAAATATGGCTACTGAAAATACTACGTGTGAAATTAAAAAAAAATCCTTGTACGCTTCAATGTTCACAGTCATCGTCATCTTCGTGAATGCACGTAAAAGAGTTTCACCTGCGAGTTCTACGTTACCACTGCAATAAGAGTGGCAAATAATTATAAATCATCAACTTCTTGCTTGCCCCCTCGATGACTACCACTACCACCCGTTGTTCTGGCCAATCTACACAGCTACGTGTATATATACGAAAAAAAAAAAAAAAAAAACAAAAAAAAAAATTAAGTAATACAGATATTATTGTAACAACAATCTAATCAATTAATTAAGTTAATTATATCCATAATTAGTCGTACGGTGTATGTTACACTTTCTTAAAAATCTATTTTTCATATTACGTTTATTCCATTAAACATTCATCATACTTTTTTTGGTAGTTATACTTTACACTTATCTCTGCCTTTAAGGATAAAACAAATTTAGAATCACATTTTTACTACGCCAAAATTAAGAGAATTTTATAAAAAAAAAAAAAAAAAAAATCTAATAAAAATAAAAAAAAAAATAACAATGCTTATTAGTCGAAAAAAAAATTAATTAAATGACTATTAATTACCGTCCATTTACCTCGATGCCTAAATTATCTTCCGACGAACCAATGAAAATTTTAAAATAATCTTTTTATTTTAAATTGTACAAAATTTATAGAGTAGTTAATCATAATAATAATAATAATAATAATTTATAATCATTTAATAGTAGCTAGTAACGCAGATCTTCTTTCTGTATTTTGAAAAAGTGCTCGAACTAGCTGTTTGACTTGACTCGCCGAAAACTCGCGTGCTAGAGGACCTTTGCCGTCTGCCCAGCGTTTCTCAATGTCTTTCAGCGAAGCCTCAAGTACTTTTATCAATTCCAACATTTTTTGCCACTTTTTAACATAGCGATTGACCGAATTTTCTTCCTGTAAAAATTAGTAACCAAGTCGGTAAATAAATTTTTTTTTTTTTTTAAATAAGGTAAGTAATTGTAGATTAGACAGGTAGCAAATTACCGAAAAAATTAATGGAGCTCTCTTGACAAGCATGTTAAAAAGATTTACAAGCTCCGTAGCTGCGTCGGCCGATATGTCTTCCAGTATAGTCACTTTGCAAATTAAATCTTCTATCATTGAGTTCAATATACAGCCAAGTGTTTTGTGATAGACGTTTATTGGCAGTACATTAAACCAAACCGTTTTTAACAACTCCAATTGTCGGATGCACTGTCTCAATGCACGCTCAACTCCCGATGACGAAGGCAATTGATTTTGAGCCAATTGAGATAATCCTAATGTAATTAGTTTTATACTTTATTAATATAATAATTTTACTTAATTTAATGAATAATTAACTAACATACCTGAATCTTTAATAATATCCGTTATTATACCACGTTGATACTTAACGTGATTGAGGAAAGTTTGAGAGCCGATATTTCGTAGTTTTAATGTTAAATCAACGTATGTAATGTTGTGATTTTTTAATTTTGGTAATTTTGCTTTATACTCATGGCCAAGTGTCATCAAATTATGAGCCAGGTACATGCAGTTGTTATGAAATAATGCTGTAAAATTAATTTTAAAAATTAAATTACAATTACGGTAAAGCTTTAAAAAAAAAAAAAAAAATTTATTTTATAGAACGTACCAACTTGTTGAGGAATAGTTTCTAAAAATTTTTTATGATACTCAGGTACTGTCCAAACATAATGCTCAATAACATTGCGACTAGTGTAGTATAATTTAGCAGAAGCAGCAGTTGAATTTTCTGAATTAAGTACCGCCTCATTAAGAATATCATGTACAAGTTGCAATAGCTCTCTAGCACTGGCACTTATTTGACAAGCCGGTAAAATAAATGTATTTTTGTTTAAATGACGTTCAGTTTGTGCATTTATAAGCGTACAATTAACTATTTCATCAGACTCTCTTTCCAATTTTTCGTTAACATGGTGATCATGCTTGAAAGAATCATGCAAATTTTTTTTAACAAGCTGACTGGCTTTTACTAAAAATTCCTGGCATATTTTAGCAATATACAAGTTATCTACATCTTTAATATAGTTAGAAATAACTAATTGTTCTTGAGTAATAAAACCTGTAATAAACGATCAAATAAATAAATAAAACATTCATTTAAATTTTATAAAATTGTTTGATTATCAAAACTGTACCTATCTCTCCCAAGTATTGTTCAAATTCGTGAATGTCATCCTCAATACTCTTAAAATTATTCAATTCAACGCTTGAGCTGGGAATAATGTCATTTATACAATTGTTTAGCAAATATTCTGACAATTGTGTCCACAAGTGCTCATTCAGGCGGCTTATAAACATTTTGTCATCGATAATAACATTTAAATGCTGATAAATAAATTGAAACAGCATTTTTAAATTATGTAAAATGGATTTATACGACGGTAATTCTTTTTTCTCATTAGAAGTTACGACGTTGAAGACTTTCTCATCGAGAACAAACACCGAACACTCGGCGCTAATTATTGGTTTGATTATTAACTTCATTAATTTAGTAGAAAAGTGCTCGAGACACAATGGAAGTTCTGACAAGTAGTGTAGAGCTTGTATAATATTTTTTATTTCATCAGGATCGCAATCAATCGTCAGGCTCACGCTACTGGTATCATTATTATTAGTCTTGGAGTTTTTATCATCATCGCTTGCTGCCCAGATAACGTGTTCCTCCCAGAGTTTTAGGACGGTCGACAAGAGAGATCTGTACGTAAGCTGGTAATTCTCTTTGATCGCCGAGTAGATGCTCAGCATCTGTAAATCATCATGAGACTCTTCGTCCGTCAGCAGAACAATTATTTTTTGCAGTACTCTAGCCGCTTCGACATAGTCTTTATTTTGCCGCAGTTTATCAACCGATTTGGTAAACTGTTCAAGCTCCAGTAACTTTGCAGACAAGTAAAGACTCGAATTGCAAGCAATCAACGCTTGAGACAAATTTTTTAACTCTTTTATTGACCCAGATAATTCAACTTTTATCTAAAAAATTAAACCAGTGTAAAAATATGTTGATAACAAAAAATTAAATTCAATTAGAACAATAAAGTATGAAAATTAAGTTAGCCGACATTTAAAAATTTTTAGAATTTTTTTTTATTGAAAAAATAAAAAATTTATTAAATTATAACTAAAAAATATTTTTAAAAAATTGCACTTTTAGTTTTTCAAGTTTTTAACAGATGAATTTTTTTTTTTATTTTTGTAATAATTTCTTCAATAAAAAAAAATTTTTAAATGTCGGCTAACTTAATTTTCATTATTCAATTACCTGATCGTCAATCTTTGATTTCAAGAGTCCTATTTCTTCAATGAGTTTTCGACTTTTATCAACCAAAACGTAGTCATTTTGAAGGGTTGGCAAAAAATTTATATAATTATCTTCAATAAATTCTTTAACGTCACTTTTTAACTTAACTATTTTTTTTTCTATCTCATTCACTTTTTTTTTCAATTCAGCAGCATTCATTTTGCCTATATATAATTAAAAAACAATATTATTAATAATTTAAATATTTAATTTTTATTAATAAAAAAAAAAAAAATATTTACCTGCTGAATCTGTTAGCAAAACATCAATAACTAAAGAACTCATTTTTCTTAAAAAATAAATATATAAATATTATGCTACTGTCAAACACTCTGTACACGAGTACATTTATTTTTTGAGGTTATAATCTCATTTGTTTGTTTGTTTGTTTGTTGATAAAGTAGGGAGTAAGTTCAATTAATTAAAAATAAAAATAGAGAAAAATTATTTATTAATTAATGTTGGTTTTTATACATTAAAAATTATTCACATTTTGTATTACTATCCGGGGAATAAGACGCTGTGGAAGAGAGCCTCTCTAATAAAATAATCAACTCGCAATGTTTAGTGTTGGGGAACATATCAACAGGTATAGCTTTGATTGGTACGAAAGGCTCACCGAGGTACTGTTTGGAAACAGGACGGGCCAGATCAACTAGATTACTCATAGCTGCTTTAGGGTCACACGAAACATACAGAATTTTCGATACTTTTTTAGTTTTACGGAGCGACAATACAGCTTGATGATGGAGTCCAGCCCTAGGAGGATCGACAACAGCGATAATATTTTCCTTGATGGTCCTTTGGATGACGGCTTTCAGAAGAGACTCTGCTTTCCCGACGAAAAATTCGCAATTGTCGATGTTATTTTGCTTTGCATTTTCCTTGGCGTCTTTAATCGCGTCGCCTACTATCTCAATGCCCAAGACTTCCGCGCAGTGTTTGGCAAAGCAAAGGCCTATAGTTCCAGTTCCGCAGCAAATGTCCAGAAGAGACGTGTTTTCTTTATCACATTGCGCTAAATCAATAGCGGCTTGGTAAAGTATTTCAGCACCTTGAGAATTTATTTGGAAGAACGCTTGGGGTGATATTCGGAATTTCAAACCCATCAACAACTCTTCAATATGTAATGAACCGCTTAAATGTTTAATCGGCCCATTTCTCTCTTGTGGACGATTTCCTCCGTCAGAATCTCTGGAAAAATTATCAGCAGTTAATTTATCAATCAATATCAAGGCTTAAAAAATTTATTTCAAATTTCAATTCAACTCACGACCCGCCCATCATCTGGATGTACAACGAAGTAACCTGAGCTTCTTTCCCGTCACCTTCTTCAAAGAAATTAATTATTTTGGCAACCAAATCGTCAAAAGAAATATCAACCGGTAAATTCTTGGGATAAGTTCCAATAATCAGCATCAAATGGCCTAGACGAGTAGCTCGAACAGTAATCTGGCTCCAAAATCCTTTGTGGTTCACTGGATCATAGACATCGAGCTGAGATTCTCGAACAAATTTTTGAAATACTCTTACAGCGATTTTCATTCTTTCAGGAATGTGGCACAAGTGATCAATTGGTCCCACAGTTGTTGATCCAGCAGCGTAACTGGACATTCTAAAGCCAATTAAAATTTCGTTATCTTCATTTTTACCTAAAAGTTCAAAAGTATAATAATTATTTCTGTTGTTTTGAAACTAAATATTTAATATATATTTATTTATACTGACGTCAATCGACGATATACATAATTTATAAAGAGGATCAGGGAAAAATTCAAGTGATTAATTAAATTGTTTATTTAGTGGTAAGTCAGCAGCAAGTTCTTCGTCGCAGTGATGAAGTTACTAAACGTTCCTCCGTCTAAATTGTTGTGTAAGGAATTTACAAGATTGGCAATGCGATTGTGTGGCCCATTAACGACGTCGTTTTTGTTCGATTTAGCAGCCTTGAGCAATCGTTTACGTCTCAATGGTAGATCAATGGGTGCAAATTTGAAGCTACTTTTGATATTTTGTATTTTATTTAATACTAGCATTTACTCGCGGCTTCGCTCGCGTTTATAAAGAAATAAATTTTTTTTTTTAATAAAAAGTATCCTATGTTACTTCGAATACCTTCGAATATATTTAAAAAATAAAAATTAAATTACCTATCGTAAATTCGCATTTATTCCTATATCCATTGATTTCCTCGGCACTTAAAATTGGTTTCAACTCGCAAATTAATCCATCATTAACAGCTCGTTGTTTTTCAATCCATCCAGTTAATCCGCTATTATTCCTGGCAATTAATTGCCCAAGTTTGGCAATAATCGATCTCATCTCACTGTGCTTCATACTCAACTAGAAAAAAATAATTCTACTCAATATAACTCAAATATTTCAACAGTTAATAATGAAAATTACCTGTTTTTCATAGGGAACATCCCAAAGAGGAATTGTAGTAGATTTTATTTGATCAAGCACCGAAATAATTTCTTCCTTTTGTTCTTGATCATTATCCTCATCATTGGTTTTTAATTTTTTACAATTTTTTTCGTCAGCTTCCAACTTCCGCTTGATAAAAGGATCTGGAGCGGCTTTTGCTTTCTATAAAAATAAAAAATTTTAAATGATATAAAAAGTATTAAAATTGAAAATTTTAAAACTTACTTTGGCAGTAAGCTGGCAATTTTTCCAAACCATCCCATCGATAGTTTTCAGCCCATGCTCCCGTGCCTCTTCATTGCGAAAATTAACAAAGATCCAATTGAGCTTATTATTCAAGGGTTTTATCTTACAAGTTTGCAATCCCAGTTTTTCATTGAATAATTTTTTAACTTGCTTTATTCCAAAATACTTTGGCAGTCCAGAAACAAGTATTTTAAATTTCTCCGATGTAAAATCTTCTCTTTCAAGATAAGCGTAAGGATTATTTAATTCGTCGGTTTCTTCAACATTGCTCAGCTTTTCCTCACAATCTTCAGCCGCGTCAGTCATTTTTTAACTTTATAATAAAAAAAAATCAATCAATGTGTACAAGTATACCCTCGTGTTTTACTATTTGAGAAGTTGAGGTTATGTATATTTATTTATTCAATTTATTATTATTTTTATTATTATTATTAGTTGGAGGAAAATGGCCGGTAGTTTTAATTCAAGGTCATTATTTCAAATATTTCTAACTTTTTCCCACGACTGTCCCGCGCTCTGGAGTTGATAGTAAGAATTAAAAGTTGTGTGGTTTTTTTTTTTTAAAGAAGGCGTGAGTACGGAGCGTTATGTGTTATATACATACAATACATACGTCAGAAAAAATAATGTAGCAAAAAAAAGGAAACAAGACACAACAGTCATATGAATTTTAATTGCGTCGAAAGAAAAAACGCGCGAGAATACTGGTATCAATGATTACACGTGTTATGGGTGTGTGCTCAAACATAAACCACAAAAACAATGCAAGTTAATAGTGAAAGTGTAAACAATAGTCGTTGCAATGCTAGTGGAAATTTTGTTGATACTAAATCAGCAAGAGACATTAGTAATAAACAACAACAATTCGATCTCGAGTTTGCTGATATTACTTTGTCTAATTTACGGCCACCACAAGCTTCCTCGACTGTTGAAAGAAAAGTGTAAGTTTTCTTTTATCAATTGCATTTTTTTTTTTTTTTTTAATAATTATTATTATTTTAACTTGAAGGTTAGTTTTTATTTTTTAATTTTTGATAATTTATTCACTCCAGAATGGGATCAACTGGTACGAGGTTCGTGCCTGAAAATTCTCCGATCAATGATTACAGCAATTGTTGGAGCGAAAGACAATCTGTGGATCGTTTGTTGACAGCAAGCGCGGGAGAAAGTTCGCTGGGCCTCATTGATGTTTCTACTCGTAAGTATATATATATATATATATATTATATAAATATTTTTTTTTTATTACATATTTTACTCTATTACTTATTTATGTCATTAAAGTTAGCAGTCCCTTGATAATTTTTTAATTTTATTTCACAAATAAATTTTTACTGAGAAATTATTTTAAAAAAAATTGCATTTATAATTTTTAAAAATTTCTCTACATGTCAATTTTTTTCTCATTTATTTTTGTCATAATTTATTTTTGTTAAAAAAATTAATTAATATCGACTATAGAATAATTCTCATTACTTATTTACTTATTTAAATATCAAGCAGTGATGAATGACCAATCAAGAATGAACAATACGACAATAAATATTGAGACTGAAAGAGAACTTGCGAGACAATTATTACTAAGATGTAGCCAACGTGATAACAATCCTGCTTATGGTAAATTAATTATATTTTTAGCATTAATGAATAATTAAAAAGAAAAAATATCAACTGTTTTAGACACAAATAAAGAAAATAACGTGAATATCCAAAATTTATCAACAACAGAAGAAGGAAAGACTTCGTTACCTCATCAGGTGTCAAAATTCAACTCAACTGCTGTAAGTTATTTCAAAATAATTAACAGCTTTTAATTTATGATGTGCTAAAGATTATTTATAATTACAGGTGAGCTTTGAGCCGACAGAATTTACCGGGCGGTCGTCAATAATTAACGAAGACGGCGTGACGTCAATTTTATCAAGCTTTAAAGCCAATAATTCCAATGCATATGGGTTTAGCTTTAACAGCACAGCCGCAGAGTTGATGGAAAAATTTGGCAACGATGATTTCCTGTCAGGTTCACAGTTTGATAATAAATTATTGACTGATGAATTGTCCTGGCGACAAAATTATGACGCAATACCGCCATCAGCCACTACAACAGTTCCTGTTGCTTCTACAAATTGTGTCAATAATAATAATAATAATAATAATAATAACAAAAACAACAACAATAATAATAATTACAATAGTAAGAAAGAACATCTTAACTTGAGCTGTTTTTCAGGAATAATAGGCGAATTGGATTTATCACTAGCGTCTTGTGCTACGGCCACATCTGGCGGTCGTAAAGTATCGGTCGGTGAATATTTCAAAAGAAAATGCGATCCCCTGGGTCAATTATCGAACAGCACTATAAGCAGCACTGTGGATAGGCCTAATTTTGGACTGCACAGTATCAGAAGTCCCGAACGTATCGCAAGTTATAAATCTCCGGTTAACGGCGGTGAAATGGCGAGTACGCTTAACGGGACTGTGGACGTTGAGTCTGAAAGTTTCAGTAATAATACGATGGTAAACAGCTGCGATGAAACCCAACTCTCAAAAACATCAGTGGCTGACGACTTAATGAGTTTGAGTAAAATAGCTCAGGTGTTGCAGTCTGACGAACTGGGTGGGAGTCCGCGGCGGTTAATCGATCAACTTTTGATGCTCAAGAAGAAACAAAAGTCTGATAATCTCTCTATGTTAAGTTCAAATACTATTATGCCCGGCGGAGGGGATACTTATACAGTATTACCAGCGAGGACTTCGTTACCTGTTATGAACAGCACGCCTTCAACAACTTTAGTAGCTGATACAGCGGATAATGACGCTGGAATAAAATCAAATGGATTATTGTTTGATAATAAGAGCGTTAACGGTGTTATTAAAAAAGACTTTGACTCTTTTAATGATAATAAAAGTCATTTTAATAGTGACAGCGATGCTGCTAAAGCTTTATTCCCGAGTACAAAAGATGTTGTTGATGCATCGGAGAGTTATAAAAATAGTAAAGGGATTAAAATTATAAAAACATCAATATTATCACCAGCAGAATCCCCTTTGTCAAAGTATAAACTTTTAAATCATAATTCAATGCAAAATAACATTAAACAAAATAATAGTAGCAGAAATAATGATGATGTTGATGATGATGATGATGATGATGATGATGATAATAATAATGCATTGTTAGAAAATATTCGTCAGTGTAATGATCAATATCAGCAACAAAATAATATGGTTGTAAAACAAGAACTGGATTATACAAATTATGAAAAACGAGTTAGCGAAAAAATAAGTATAGGTAAAAATACACGTGACTTATATAAATGTTTGATTGGAGTACCGCGTGATGCAGACATTGAAATAAAAAATGAAAGCGATCGTTGGTTAATATGTACATTTAAATTGGACCAAATTCAGGGTAATAAAAGTAACGTTGAAATAATAGTGCCATCAGACCAGATTTTAATTGAACCGAATGAATCGAAAACGGCTAAACTAATGGTTAATTTTTTAAAAGTCGGTGATCCAGTAATGGCATCACTTAGTATTCAGGTAATGGACATGTCGACACGTGAAATATTCACGAAACAACATATGATGTGTTTCATTCCAACGATAAATGATGAATTCAAAAATCAAGATTTAACGTCAATACCACCAACAACTAAAGTAATGGGAGCAACAGCTAATGCTGATTGTCATCGTGAGATAGAATTAATTGATGCAACGCCAGTTTTATTAAAAAATAATACAAATAAATATATACGATTAAAAAATAAAACAAATAAAATGGTAAATTTATCAGTAGCTGTTGAACCATTCGATAAATTGCCGGAGGATAATTTTAATATTGAACCAAAAAATTTGACACTACAGATTAATGAAATGAGCATTGTATTAATAAAATACCACAGCAGTACAGGAATAAAATTAAATGATGATAGACAAGCAGTAATTAAAATAAAAACAGATGGAAATATTTATTCATATTCAGCAGTATTAATAGAAAATGAAAAAGAAAATGAGGATGAGAAAGGAAGAGGTAAAAATAGAGAGGAAAAAGATAAAGAAAGAGAAAGTAATAAAGTTGGAGTTGATAATGAAAATAACGATTACTGTCAACGGTGCAATACTCCACAGCGTATGATGTTTACTGGTGCGTCTGGTACTGGTGGTACGCGCGCTGGTTCTGTTGAACTCGGCGCCGGCGGCGATATTGTAAATGATGCTGGTTTATCTCCTAGTAACAATATATTGTCACCGGCATCAACGGCGAGTACAGGGACGACAATAGTGCCGAGAATAAATTTATCTGGTAGAAATTCACCCCGTAGTACAATATCTACGACGACATCCAACACTGGTGGTTCAAGACCACCTACAGCCGTTACGGATGACGTTATTATTCCAATAAAGTCTACTAATTCAACTTTAGTGTGGACTACCGTTAAAGTTGGTAAATACGAAAATCGTGAATTTACAATACGTAACATTGGGAGCTCGAAAATTAAACTCCAGGGAGTAATAACTGATAAAGATAATTGCTATAAATTTTTAAAAGATCGTGATTCGAGTACCAACATGACGGTGACACTGCAGCGTATGGAGAGTAAGACATTTACGGTGATATTTAATCCGAGTTCAGTGGGTCCAGCGGCTGGAAAAATAACATTTACTTATTTTGATAAAAAACAGCATCAGCAACAGAACAATGACAACAACAACAACAACAACAAAGAATTATCGAGACCTTCTAGGATAATTCCCCTTTACGGTTACGGTGGTTACGCAAAAGTTTGTGTTGGTCAAGCGCTTAAAATAATAGGCGATCAGATGTGGTTGCCTCTCGGTAAATTAAACTCCAATGGTACTCTAAACACCAAAATAAGACTAGAAAATACAGGTGATTTGTCAGCTTACGCTAAAATATCGTTAGCACCGAAAGCCGTTTATCCATCAGTTGAATCAAATTGGCACATCGAACCGACGGAAGTGATACTTGCCCCGAAAGAGGTTCAGTGGATAACACTTAGATTTCGACCTCGTCGAGAGGACATGGCATTATTACGCGGGGCAACAGCCTCAGGGGTCAGAGGCGGCTGCGGCAATTCCACCGGCAATGTTACCGATATAGCTACTCTTACAATAATGCACGGGGATGAACCCACACGATGGCGAATTCGCAGACTCTATAAAAAAATAACTCAAGCCGAGCAAGATAAAAAATCTAAAGATAGCAAAGATATATTTATGAGCATGGTTCACCAAATTAGCAAAGTTATAACAGGGGAAAAATCAATAAATAATTTGAATATCATACGTGACTCTGTTCAAGACCTCGGTATTTTGTGTCGACAACTTTCGCGACACGCAATAACTTTAACAATGGAGTGGGATTCGGACGACACAATGTCGATATACCAGGACACAGATGATTATTATTACGACGATGATGACGATTCTAATGAATCAAAATTATTTCAATCACTTTACAGCGCCAGTGAGATAAACAACTGTACGGCAATCACTGTTACCAATGAAAATAATAGTTATTATTTGCCTTCTGCTTCTGAAACTCGGTATTTGACTGACGCTAATTATATTATGAGAGCAAACAACAACAATCAACCAATACCATCCTCATCATCCGCATCATCCTCCTCTGCATCAACGTCCATGCGGAACCCAGTTACAGACGTGAGCATTGATGTAGAAGCTGATAAAAATAAACAATTTACTGTCTCTCCATTATCTGTTACTTTGAGTCCTCCGATTTTAAAACACGCTACAGTTATTATTACAAATATGACAAGTAATAACCAACCATACAGAACGAAGCTATTGTCTCACAGTGAACAACTAGTGAGTGTTGTGCCCAGCGAGGGTCTTATTCCGGCCAGGAGGGGTATTCTCGTTAAAATTCAGTCTAATAATAACAACAGTGTTGACAAAAATATCGAGGCCGTTTTACGAATTTATACAGCTAATGAGAAACGTGATCTTGCGATAAAAATCTTAACTGCCGCTAGTGCTCCTTATACTTGGGCTGGTGGTGCTTCAGCTCACGGAAGAACAAGAACACAATCCGGATCTTAAATAACGTTAAGCATCTTATGCATTTACGCGCGCGTACTTGAAAACTAATTTATATTACTTGTATTTAAAAATTTTTCTTTTCATTTTTTAAAAACTTTTTTACTCCACTTGTTTTTTATTCCTTTTCATTTTCATTTATTTTAATATTGTACTTATTATATAAAGTAGCGTATCCAGGGTAGATAAAAAAAAAAAAAAAGAAAAAATAAAAACACTCTACGCAATTTTTTATACTAACTCATATATAATTTTATAAAATGATTATAATAAAGTTATAATATAAAATAAATATATGTATATGTATATTTCTAAATAATAAATTTTAATCTAAAATTGCTTTCGTTTTGGATGTATAATCAAATTTAACAGGATATTTATTGGCAATGGTTTCAATAATTCTTTTCATATTGACAGAGTCGTGTATACCCGAGTGAAGTCTACCTTGTGCCGACAAATTTAATTTATTGAGCATGTCCCTCAAGCTTGTTGGATAATACTGTGTTGCCATGTAAAAAATTCTCTTCAAGTTAATCCACTGATTGAAATAGTGCGGTACTGGTAAATTATCAAGAGAACACTGATTGGGCAGCATAACTTTTAGATCCCAATCACCACAAGTAACAAATGTACTTTCATAATTATTATTATTATTATTATTATTATTATTATTAGAATTATTTATATCCTTGATAAAATTATTTGTTGCGAGCCATGTAGAAAATTTATCCAGTACAACTGGGAAATATTCTTCATTCTCAATTGTTTCTTGCATAATTCCTGTTAATTCTGTACAGAACGGACTTATAATTGGATTTACTCTCGGTTTTACATATTCATGAAAGATACTCTCTATTTCCCAATTTTTCGTACTAACCGCAATGCAAGGAAACTCGATTATTTCCTGGTTTTTTATCTGTACATTTTTTTCACAAGTTGCTTCAAAGTCCAATATCAGTAAATATTTGAATTTTTGAACGATATTATCCGGTGTTTGACGTCGTCCAAACGATACCGGTCCTTGGCCTTTTTTCATTAAACGCAGTGCCATAATAATTTTAATCTCCCTTTTTTTTACTCAACTATATTTTTATATTATTATTATTATTATTTTCTCTTTATACCGGTATTCTCTTCTCTACTTGCAGCTGATGTGCACCAGCTCAAGCTAAATGTGCAAGCTTTCATCAACCACCACACGCCTTTTTGTGCCTTCGTTCTCGCTGCCAGCAAATAACTCACGCCTCGGATTACGTCGTCAATATTTAATTTTTTTTCTATACTCTAAAATACAATAAAAAAAAAAAGGTTATTTTAAAAATAATACCAGGACAGAAAAAAAAATTATAAAGTATAAAAGATAGAGTATAAAGCAGGTTGATATGTACAAAGTTTATATACACTAGTCGACAGAAAGCAAGAGAGTACGTCTACGTCCTGATACTCCTGATACTGGTGTTGCTGATGGAAGTAGTGGAACTGGTTGTGTATTACAAAATATACACGAGTGCACACACACGTTTATGGCATAGAGCACAACAGTGACATGCTTGTCACATGGCCATTCAACGTCAGAGTCACGTGTCACTGAATAAATAGCGTAACGTGATTGGTGACCTGGTCCTTTTAGCTATAATCACTGTCTGTATTTCACGTATCACGTAACTAGTTACAGTTTGCTTCTGTGACAATCCATGTGACAGTACTCTATACCGCACTATTGTTATTATTCTATATGCTATATGCTATATGCTATAGTTTTTTATTATTTTATTTAGCATTTATGTCGTCACGCGGCGTCACCCGTCGGCTAACAAATGCGCGCGAAATAATATTATAACCTCTATTTTACTCAATAATAAACTACTGTGCAAAATAACACTGCTACTGGAGTTATAGTGGACAAAAAGCAGAAAGCAGACCAGGGCCAGCATACACAAGTGATTCATTTATTCTATACGTTATTTAGTTTTATATATTTTTATTATTGCTGAAAATTAAATTAGAAGGGCGGTAAAAAAAATATAAAGTCGGCTTTAATTTGAGCTTTAGCTCATTTCTGAGGTTGTTAAGTATATATAACTATTTTTTTTTTTTTGTTTTTTTTGTTTTTTTGTGTCATAGAATAGCAACGGCAATGGGAGTTGATAAATCTGGGAATTTACCATGGTAAGTTAAATGACGCTCATTAAATATTAAATGGGAAAATGGTTAGAGCAATGTAAATATTAACAATGTGCTTGCATTTATTTGTATGTTTACCGTTTGCGGGGGTATTAAAGGGTTGAAAAGTACCGGCCATCAACATTAGATGACCTCATTTCACATGAGGATATTATTAAAACCAGTAAGTATTTATTTTAATAATAAATCTTTTTTTTTTAATGTTAATTAATTTAGCAGATATTTGATAATTTTTCAAATTTTTATAACATATAAATTATGACAAAAAAAAATTGACCTGTAGAAATAAAAAAAAATAAAAAATGCAATTTTTTAAAAAATAATTTTTTTGTTAAATACAATTAAAAAATTGTCAAGTGACGGCTAACTTTAATGTCATAATTTTTCAAGTTAGCAGTAATTAGAGAATTTGAAAATTTTTTTTAACAAACAAACAAATTTGTTCCCAAAAATAATTTTAAAAAAATTGCATTTTTTATTTATTTAAATTTCTACATGTCAATTTTTTTTAGACATAATTTATTTGTTAAAAAAATTCTAAAAATTGTTTAATATCTACTAAATTTATTTCCATTAATTTTTTAATAATTCATAAACTTCAGAGTCTTTTTTAAAAAGCTGCTTTTACGGTTTATTATCCTTATTATTATTATTATTATTATCATCATCATCATCATCATCAATTATTTATTTTCAGTTAACAAATTTATAAATGAAAATCAACTACCGCATTTATTATTTTATGGCCCTCCTGGTACTGGAAAAACTAGTACAATCCTGGCTTGTGCCAAAAAATTGTATAAGCCGGCACAATTCAACTCGATGGTTTGTATCTCTGCACTAGTTTATTAAGTATTCAAAGCTTTTTAAGTATCATTAATAAATCAATCATACTGCAGAAAGTACTGGATTATTGTTTAACGGATTATCACTGCTATTATCATTATTATTATTATCATCCTTTGTTAGGTGTTGGAGTTAAACGCGTCGGACGATCGAGGTATTGGTATTGTTAGAGGACAAATCCTTAGTTTTGCAAGCACAGGAACAATGTATAGATCTGGATTTAAATTAATTATACTGGATGAAGCTGATGCTATGACAAATGATGCTCAAAATGCTCTGAGAAGAAGTATGTCACTGGTTTAAATTTATGACTTTGTTTCTGTACGTCAAGTCCTTAACAATATCATGCTTTATGTATTATTGTCTGTCTTATGTTTTAGTTATGGAAAAGTATACCGAGAATGTAAGATTTTGCATTATTTGTAATTATCTGAGTAAAATCATACCTGCACTGCAATCCAGGTGCACTAAATTCCGGTTTGGTTCACTTAACTCTGAGCAGATTCTTCCGAGACTTGAGCACGTCGTTAAAGAAGAAAAGTAATTGCGTTAAGATGTTATTTTTATAAATATACACATTGCGCGGGCATTTACGTGCTCCTTTTTTTATTTTGTTTTACTTTTAATACTTTGTTTTCTATTTTTTAGTATCAAAATAACTGAAGATGGTAAACGTGCTCTGATGGAACTAAGTGGCGGGGATATGAGAAAAGTCCTTAATGTTCTTCAAAGTACGTGGCTAGCATTCGGAGATGTTACTGAAACAAATGTTTATTCCTGTGTTGGTCATCCTCTGCCAATTGATATAAAAAATATCGTAAATTGGTTGCTAAACGAGCAATACTTTTCAGCTTACTCGAGTATCCTTTTTTTTTTTTTACATTTTAACTTTTAACTTTTTACATCAAATGTATTGAGTACTTTTCATCAAACTTACCCTTTTACTAAATTTAAATTTCAACTAACTTCCTTAATTATTATTATCATCATTATTATTATTCAACAGAGATCAATGATTTAAAGATAAAAAAAGGTCTCGCGCTACAAGATATACTGACTCAATTACATCTATTGGTTAACAAAAGTACGTATCAATATTAATTTTTTTTTTTTTACTATTGACATTTTATTTTTTTTTAAATATAGATATTATTATTAAAGCGAGTACGATTTTGTTTCAGTTGAATTTCCAGATAATATAATTATGGAACTAATTATTAAACTAGCACAAATTGAAAAGCAAACTGCAGCTGGATGCAACGAAGCAGTCCAACTAAATGCTCTAGTTTCAGCTTTTCAAAATGCTCGGGATATTGAAAAGGTGTGAGAAGTGCTGCCGTAGAGAAGTGCCATGACAAGTATTAAGTACACGGTGATGCTTGGAATATGAAAAATTCAGTGTAAAACAATCGTCGCGTCGAGTTGAATTTAGAAATGTCTCTTAATTTATTTAATACACAAATTTTTTTTTTTTTTATGACATGTTTAAAATCTTTTTTACGTTACTTCTGGCTGCATCTTTTATGCTTACCAGCAAAAAACAAAACTGGTAAAATATATATATATATATATTATTATTTTTTTTTCTCGCGGACATCATTATCCAAGTGTATCCTATTAAATATAACGAGAATCAACACTGAGATATGTCAAGCAACTTTTTAAAATTTGATATCATTATTTTAGAACGTACCCATGATTATATATTACATAATATAAAAAATATCTATCCATCTATCCATTGTAATATTGTCCGGGGTATTTTTAAATTCAACTTGGCTTGCATCTTTTGAATTTACTACAAGCAGTAGCAGTTGAAGTTGAATCTATAAAAGCAGTAACAGTTGTAACAGCATGTGTTTTTGATTTTTGCATTCACAGTATACTATTTTAATTTTATATTCACAACACAAAACCAATTAAACGTAGTACCGGTAGATAGAGAACAAGTATCTGCTGTGTAATACAAGCAGTAATAGAAATAGCGTGGGGGATGTGCCGGTTGGTGGCAAGAGGTGAGCTAGAGGATCGGACTGCAGTGGTTGCAGTCTGAGTTGAATCTATCATATAATTAACATAAATTAGGTACCAAAATCTACGTGTACTGGTACGGGCGTAAAGCAAAGATAAAGATTACGAGGTTCTACTATTCGTAGATATACCTTATACCCTATACCTTGGTAGAAAAGGGTGATCCTGGATCCTGGGGAGCAAAGGGGAAGCGCGCGCGCGAATGAAAGAGACAGATTGTAGTATGGAGAATTTCGGGCTGAGCGTTGCGAGTTGCTGGTATAGTAGTACCAGCGAGGAAAGATGGGAACCGCCGGGACGCCACCGCCGTCACGGGATTGCTGGGGTGGCTCGGCCCTCCGTCGCTAGCTCGCCGCGAGTACTCAGGTCTCGCATGGTGTGTAATACTGCCGCCGGCGACTGGGGGGGCCGGGTTTTGGCCGGGTCGTTTGCGCCTCCAATGCGCAGCTACAACCTACCAATGCGGATCTCTTTGTGTGTATGTGCGACACCAACATCTCCACCTAGATACGTACACTCTGGGGTTTCTCTGTGGAGGAGCATGTGTGAGCTGGTAGAGGGGCAAGGAACCACATTGAGCTGTATAGCCCCGTCGTTTTCACCACTACCAGGTCCTTCATTCCTCTCTTGCTTCCCTGCAGCTGGTGCTCCGTTCTCGGTGAATACGCTACCCCCGTGAGCCACTACCTGACCGCGAGCTTGCAGAGTACTCTGCCGCCGCGGACCTCCACAGAAGGTCCCCGTTATTCGATTCAGCCGGCTCGAGTAACATCATACCAGTCGACTCAGCATTTCTGTGCGGGATATTGAACTGCTATCACGAGTTGTTAATGCTCCTGCTAGAAGCTGTGCGTGTCAATCATCATTCCCAGCATCACGCTGACGTTTATTTTAAAAAGTCGCGAGTCTGTTTTTTTTCTTACTGCAATTTTTTATTCACATCCTCTGGAAATTTAAATTTTGTGTGAGGTTATTTTAAAAATAAAACTGACTGAATAAATTATATTTTAAAATAGTAATACTTTACCTGTTAAAATATTTAAATTGACACATTTTTCGATAAATGTCTGTTGTATTTTGCAAACGCTCAAGAGTAATAATATAAAGTACTGAGTGTCATAAAGAATACATAAAGAATTTATCCGGCTGGCTATTGGACATGTGAGTATAAAAATATAATACAATAGTTGTATAATAATAAATTACACTGAAGTTAGCAGAGGTTTAAAAATTTTTGATTTTTTTAATTAAATTACAACTAAAAAAATATTTATAAAAAATTGCACTTGTAGTTTTTCAAGTTTTTAACATGTGATATTTTTTTTTTTTTAATTGTTTAATTGAAATTTTTTCAATAAAAAATTTCTAAAAATTTTGAAATGTCAGCTAACTTGATTTTCAATAATACTAAAGTTAGCCGACGATTTAAATTTTTTAATAATTAAATTAGAACAAAAAACTATTTTTAAAAAATTGCACTTACAGTTTTTAAAGTTTTTTACCAGTGAAATTTTTTTTTTTAATTTTTTTGTAATCATTTCTTCAATAAAAAAAAATTCTAAAAATTTTGAAATGTCAGCTAACTTAATTTTCATAATAATAGTTGTAAAAAATTGTAGCGTGATAGACACATGTGTCTTTTAATTGTCTGTAGCTCGGTACACATTTCTCTACTAGTACAATAGATATAATAATGGTTGATGAATAGCGTAGTGGAGTAAGTCGGGGGTTGAACCTACGAGAACTGAGGGTGAGAATGTAAAAAATTAAAAAAGGCTGGAAATGATAAAAGAGCATAAATGCGCTCGCGCGCTACCAAGACTGATAGATAGGGTTGCGTATCTGCTCAACCGCGTTCTTGATCTTGATGACCGCGCAGTTACATTCATATACACGCCGTGTATATTCAACGTCTGACCATTTGTATGCATGTAGACATACTTGTGTTACATACAAATATATAGATATGTATACTAGTATATAGAGAGTAGCATGCAGTACTAGCAGTACTGGGTCCCTATCATTCCTGCTAGCTACTATATAAATTATTTCAGCTGCATGAAAACAATAATTTAATGCCAGATAGCTGCTAGTAAATAATTAACAGAATTTATATAGTAATTAATTAACTTTCAGCGTTGATGGACAACCCAATTAAATTTTGTTTTCAATTATCCTTATGTCATGTGTGCAAATACCACACAGAGACCGAGCGTGTACACCCGAGAATATACACCACGTAAACGGGACATGTATGTATAAACCGAGTGAGTTAGAGTGTACTGAACCAAATCTCTGATGCATTGGAGGTAAAAAAAGGGTCGCGCGCTTGCGCAACCCCTGCTTTTTAAATCAAATCAGCGGAAAGAACAAGCTACATTATGCGTGAAAACCCTTGATTTTTTTGCCATCCCTCTTTCTCTATTTATATATGAATAATCTCCATAGATATGTCTCTATTATATAGATTCTATATTCTATATTCTACATTGTACTCTCCTTGATTTCTTTCAATAGTTATATAATTTATGCAACTATACAATAACCGAGATACACAATGCCCATTGAGAGTCACAATTGATATAGAAATTTGTCATCTATGGAGAGAAATTCGTATTGAATATAAATTATATTATAGCTCTGCGGAAGGGATCTCACTTGGCGGTCAACGACGCGTGTACGCTGCGGCATGTGGGTGGTTAAATATATGAATGAGCCCAAAAAGTGCCACTGACATCAAAAATTATATACCACTCTTGTAATATAAATATTTATATCAATTTCATTTTAAATTATTATTATTATTATTATTATTATTAATTGTTTACCAGTTAAAGTTATTCAATTTTATTATTTAAAATGAATTACACTAATTAATATTTAATAATAAATTTATATTCGATGATATTCAATATTATTATTATTATTATTATTATTATTAATTAAAATCAGTTATATAATAATAACTTTAAATGAATAATTAAACAACGTTGAAACAAAACTGGAGTAATTAAATTTTTAATGAGAATTTTATTTCAGTATAAAGTGAAGCTTTTCAATAAATACAATCCCGATATTAAAATCTGTATCTTTATATTATAAAATTTAATTTTCAATAATCAATTGTAATTAATAAATCAGTGTGGCAGCTAAAATTTTTTGGTATATCATTTTAATTATTATTAAAATGAAAAATCTATAAGTAGATGGAATATTAAGAGGATGAATAATAAAAATGTGTTGCAGGGTGAAGGGGCATGTTGGTTATTCGGCGCTTGCTGATCGTGGGTGTACTCGCAGCTTCGATTGGTCATTACCCAGTAGCCGCAGCAACCGGGAGCAAGATTGGCGGTATGTGGTGGTGGTGGCGACCACCGTGGTTTATTAGTTACCTTGGATTTGCTTTGATTTTCCATACAACACCTGATGTTGCCAGTTATCACATTGCCGTGACCACCAGCAGCAGTAGCTCATCCCAGAAAACCGATCTCACCGCCGCGGGATGCCGTTTGTCTGAATTTAGATGTGATAATCGGCACTGCATCGCCCAGGACAAGTTTTGCGACGGCGAGGACGACTGCTCTGATAAATCCGACGAGCCTAAATACTGTACCCGTAATTATCATTATTATTAATTAGAATTACTATTACTAGTATTTAACGGAGTATTTATACTTACCTCAAGGGGGAAAATACGTGTACAGGCTTAAAAAAATTCATTTTTTTTTTTTGTAAATCGCTTGTAAAACTATTCAAAAATCTAGATTTTAAATTCTAAGTCAAAATTCCTATTCGTAAAAAAGTTATAAGCGATTTAATAATTACTTTAATACTATTTTACATTAACTTTTTATGAAAATTAAATATAATACTTAAGTTAGCCGACGACTTTAATTTTTTGATTTATTTTTTAATAATTAAATTAGAACAAAAAAGTATTTTTTAAAAATTGCACTTACAGTTTCTAAAGTTTTTTTACAAGTGAAATTTTTTTTTTTATTTTTTTGTAATTATTTTTTCAATAAGAAGAAATTCTAAAAATTTTTAGATGTCGACTAACTTAATTTTCATAAATTAAATTAGCCGACATTTGAAAATTTTTATAATTTATTTTATTGAAAAATAATCTTTAAAAAATTAAAACAAAAATTTTCACATGTAGAAAATTTTAAAAAATATACGTGGAATTTTTTAAAAATATTTTTTTAGTTCTAATTTTTAATTAATAAAAAAAATAAAAAATTGTTGAGTGTCGGCTAACTTAATTTTTCAAAACTGTGTGCAGTCTAGCTCAAAGAGTTTTAAGCTAATCATCTTGCGATATGGCTTATAATTTTCTTTATACAATTGCCTTGAATATGAACCTCAATTGAAAGCGATATTTTTATTTAAACTATTTTTTTTTTTAATAAACAATGTATGAAAAAGTGGTAAAAAATCACGACTTAATTTCACAGCCCTCTAAAAGATGCAAATTTTTACTTTTTTTTTTTTTTTAAATTGAGGTTTATATGGAAGATATTTACACATATAAATGAAGTAACTTTTCTGTGGCATTGATTTCAAATAAAAATTGTGGCTTCCATACTGCACACGGATGACAATCCAAGATGTTTCCGCTATTTGTTAACTTATATTTTGTTTAATACGAAAAAATACTCATAAATATGTGTATAAAATAACCTGATAATTTCAATAAATAATATTAATTTTTTATACCTTAAAAAAATTAATGAAAACGGCCTTCTACACGTATTTCCCCCTTTAACCATCAGAGATTTCCATCAGCTTCGGTTAAAATATATACGTATATATAATTGAATTTAAATAGGAGTAATCTCAGATGGGGATAATAATAAACACCAAATTGACTGTATGATTTGCTGGAAATAAACTCAATGTAATTTAACAGCTTGCAATAGAACTCTTTACGGCGATGTGGGACGGACTTATGAAGTGGAAGTTCGACGTCCTCGAGAGGATCGATTACCTTTCATTTGTCACATCAATTTTACGGCTGCCGGTGGCGATTTTGGTGACCTAGTTCAGGTAATAATACTACTCATAATGTTACTGTAAAAAAAAGCACTATCGCAATCACAATCATAGTAACCGTTCAGAAAGGAAAGAAAATTAAATATATTTTATAATAGAAAAGAAGAGTACAATAGAATACTATTGTTACGATTATTACATCCCTTTTTTAGATTTTAATAAGAAATTTAATACTTTTTTTAACGAATACAAGTATCATATCATGTATTAAATTGTTTTATCATGAAATAAATATGGAATTTTTTCATATTAATAATCAAAAGTTTCATTGTATAGATTTGACAGCTATCATTCGTTGGCTACGTTCAAATTTTAAGGGTGAATATAGTTTATTTCAGTGTATCAAGATTTGACTCACTTGATCAATTTAAACGCAACCATTATGCAATAATTCTGTCATTTACTTTGAATATATTGAAAGAGGATAAATATTGCAATAATTTTTGTGTAAAAGTTTTGAATATCTACTAGAGACAAATAAATTATTACGATATAACTATTGTTATAAATCCAGATCAATTTGACAAGTGGATGATGAATAGGTCATGTACTCGTTCCAAGTTTTTCGTCAAACATATACGTGACAACGAAAATTCATTAATTAATTGAATAATTGATGATGTAGAAACTGATAGATATCTGATAATTTGTGGAATTTTTTTAAATAAATGAATTGTGATGAAGAAAATGTAACAAAAAATTTTCATTTGTAAAAGTTATAAATAAACTATATCAATACAATTTTTTTTAAATATTAAGGAGATTGAAATTGCATTTATAATTTTTTAGAGCTTCTAAAGATGGAATTTTTTTTGCTCTCATTTTTGTGATAATACATTTCAAATTTGTTGAGAAAATTTTTCAATTTGTCAGATGTCTGTTAAATTAATTATTATAAAAGAAAAAAATTAATATACATCTGACAGTTTTTAAATTAAAAAGAAATAATTATAAAAAAAAATTCACATGTAGAAATTTATAAAAACTGTGAGTTTGATTTTGTAAAAGATTTTATTGGTACCTACTACCTAATTAATTTACTCGTTAAAAATACCAGATGTCTGTTAATTTGAACATCACAAAAAAAAAAAAGCTTTCAACTTTCAATAAATAATAATTTATATTAAATTAAAAAACATAAATTTGTAGCTGACATTTGATACATTTACCGTCGGACGTTTCCTATCATTCACAAATCAAGGATGCCCCGATGGTTTCATGATGATTCGGGAAGAAGGAAGACCAGCAACAGGCGGACAATGGTGTGGGAGTGCATGGGGTTACACCGTTTATTATAGCGAAACAGCTTCCATCAATCTAACGCTATATCTCGCCCGATTATCTGAACAGGTACGTGAAGAGTATGCGCGCAAAAAATAATACATATAAGTACATTTATTCCAGGGCATACTTACACAGACACACATCAGCTCTTAACTCAACTCTCCGGGGTTGTGTGAGTAGGCGGTAAAAACACCAATAAAGAAAATCGATTCAATTCAACTCATGTCTAAAGTTGCGCGTCTGACTATTGCTGCTGTTACACTACTGTATGCGCGTCGCGTACTCATGTAAATATGTTTCTGATTATAGATAGCTGCTCTGTACATGATAACTCTTTTCTCTAAAAGGAAAACTTATCCCGGGATTTAGATAATAATAATAATAATAATAATAATAATAATAATAAAGTTAATGCTTTGAAAAATAATAATAATTCTGAATAAATGAAATCCTTTTATCTCACCAATTAGAACATTTTCGTTAATATTACCGACTTAGTTATCTCGTTAATGCTTTATTGATGTACTTGCTTTACTTTTAGTCTAAATAAAGTAATAATGAAGTATTTAATATATTCGACAAGTTGGTAAAGTAAATATTTAAAATCCCCGGTTGAGATCCGTGAGAAAATTAGCATTAAAGATAAACATTTGAAAAAATAATCCAACTCGAGGGAGCAAAAAATCATTTTATAAAATAAAATCCCGAGATAAAATATAAAATAATGTAATAAATTATTTTTTTTTTAATTGTCTTCAGGGAATAGGATACAATTTCGACTTTAAGCTGTCGTATAAATTTCTTAAAAGAAGTGAAGCGCACCTGCGATATGGAAATAACACACTGTCTACGTGGCGAGGGGATTTAGTAAACGGAACTTACTGCGACCGAGTTCTGACACGATGTGACACCCGTGCGTGTCGGCTACAATCCCCAAATTACCCAGGTGTTTATCCGAGGAACGTAACTTGTTACTATCGAATCGAGCACAAGCGAGCACCGCCCGGACATCGAGCTCTTCTGGCGGTGAATCAGAGAAACAGCCATAAAATTCACATAAAAGACCAAGTCGTTAAGTACGACAGAAGCCAGCGTATATTGAGGTAAATACAAATATATGGCAATGGTAATACTCATCCTATCCGCTCTAAAGCTCAAGCTAAAGTAAGAGATTCTTTTACCGTTCGCCTTTTACCTTTTTACCTTTTTACCTCGTTTACGGGCATTTGATTTTATTTTGTCCGTTCATACTGACATAAACGTATACCTGTCGCTGTAAACTTAATACAGTTTGCTAGGAGTCTAGCCAGTGGTGATCTTACTCTACTGGATCCTTGTCAGCCAAATAAACTTATGTAACTTAATATAATAATAGCTTAATAATAATTAATACAGGCTAACTTAATATAATAATAATAATAGCCTGTATTCCCTCCAGGCATAAACAATTTATTTTCAATTTGTATCTAAATTTGTCATTAAAGATAAATTTGACTGAAAAAATCATTTGGAAGGCCCAGACCTAGAAGTTTATTTGCATATGAAGAAATACATTTTTGTGATATAATAAGCTGTAAATTAAAAACTTAAAAACTAGCTTTACGACATTATAAACTTTGGTTTTAACTTAGTTACTAGTCTCCTTGATTGGAGCAGCTAAAACTAATTCATATTTCTAGAAAAAAATTTTTTTTCCATTTGTTTTTATATTATTGTTTTTAGAATTTAATAGATCTAACTTATTGGCAATTAATAAGCCTCCTAGATGCTAATTTTTTATTATAATAAATAATGGAAAACTTTTTTTATAAAAACCATTTTCTCTTGTCAAAGGCTCTACCTGTTAAGCTATCCGAGACACTGTCCATAATTATCATTCAGTCACCTATTAATGACAAACTCAATACCTAATTGTAGTTCTAATTAAATATAGTATGATGTTAATTTTGATTTTTTCCTTGACCTCCTGTCAATACATTTTTAAAGCCGATGGTATACTTCTTAATATTTATTATTTCTAAAATTATGAATAATTAGAGAAAAAAATTATTATATTAGACTGGATAGCCAATAAACTGAAAATTTTCAATGACTTACGTCAGAAAAATATCTATAAAATGATAATAATAATAATAATAATAATAAATAATAATATGTCCTGTTTGCGAATAGATATATTGCATTGTATATAGAGTATACATACATATGATATAAGTAATTTATCTATTTGCAGAGTTTGGGATCAGTGTAATGTTGTCCAGGATTATCTTACTGTTTATGACGGCGGCTCAACGACAGACAGAGTACTAGTTCGTCTTTGTGGTGGTGACACAGTACCAGATATTGTCAGTAGTCGCAATACAATGCTTCTTGAATTTCATACATCACCCTATGACAATCCCTTTCATCCAGTTCCCTTATCCTTTCTACCAGGTTTTGAGCTTGAGGTTCACGTTCTATTTGTCGACGATAAATCACGAAGCTTTGTTAAAGAAAACTCCAATTGTGATTTTTATATAACGAGTTACGAGAATCCGTCGGGCACACTTGAGAATCCAAAACATTCTCTACCTCCCAATACAACCTGTCGCTATCATTTTCACGGTAAGCCCAATGAAATAGTATGGATATCTTTCATAAAGTACTATTCTGCGAGCACCGATCCTCCGCCCGCCGCAAGCATCGACTCACTTAATAATGACGACGATTCAAATAATAATAACAACGACGAGTGTCATGCTAAGCTCATTATATGGGACGGAGACCAGACACAGCAGGATAAGCATCCAGCTTCCCCTAAAAAAGTATGTATTACATTATATCTATGCACGCTGAGAATTTTAATGGTTACATTTCAATTATTATTGAATTTTTAAGTATTTCAATACAAACATTTTTCTTTTCAAATTTTATTTTATTTATTTCAATACTTTAGCTGTGAATTTATAAAAGCTATCATTGATAAATCTTGAGTGACTTTTATTTTGTGTTGGCATTTATTAAATAAAATAAAAGAATAACCAAACATTTGATAATTTTTTCACTAAATAAATAATGAAAAAAAAAAAAAAAAAAAAAAAAAAAAATTTTTACTTTTAATTAAAATTTTTTTAAAATATTTTCTTGATACTAATTTTTTTTTTAATGATATTAAAAAATAGCCAGGTGTTCGCTGAATCGAATATTATGTACAATATTTACTGTTTTACATTACACAGATATTTTAAAATTCACGGCAACTAGATGATAATCATTATCATAAAATTCTCAGCATGTGCCAATATTATTTTTTAATAAAAGTTAATATTACATAACAACAGCGAATGGATATGTTTGTTGTAGAAAATCCGGTTGATGGGACAATTTTGCAAGGATGAGATACCAGTATTATGTGACCACAGTCTCTTAAGGAACAGTAGTCGTCATACACGTCCTTGTAGTCTTGCCGAGAGTTATGTTTCTACCGGGCGAGACTTAACTCTCGAGCATATTCTCCGTCAGGGCAGTGCGCTTTATCCAATAAGCTTCGTGTTACGGTATGAATTCGTCCACAATTCAATGTCTTGCCATTTGGTTTTCACTTCATCCTCAAGCTTCTCTTTCTCCTCCTCTTTCTTGGGAGGATCCAGCCGGCATGATGAATCGGTGGTTAAAAAGTCCGCCGGAATATCCGGTAAATTTTCGTCCCCAAAGAACGTATTTTTGTACGGACGTGGAGGAGCACAGAATCTGAGCTGCGTTTATCGATTTGAGGCGGAGCAAGATCAGAAAGTTGAGATATCTATTTCAAGAGCTTCCTTTGGCGATAAAGTATGCATGTCGTATGTGGATCCTCTGGTGAATAGATGGACATGCGATCGCCGGACATCAGACGTTAAATTAACTGGACTCGCTGAGCTTGTTGTTTCGGAATATCCTTGGCCCGGAGTTAAGCTTGTACGTGATTGTTTCTGTTCAAATATCACTGGCAACGCTGACAATGATAGTAGCAACAACAACTACCGTGTCTCACTTACCTCGCTGACGTCCAATATTGTTGAGCTCAAGTTTACAATAACACGTATGAATGTTACTCAAGATTACAACGATTTTTTTTTCGAAGGAGAGTATCGTTTTGTCTCAAACAATGTACCAGTTGAGAACAATGAGGATAGTGATGATACCAGAAATCACGGTAACGAGGACGACGACGACGACGACGACGACGACGACAACAACAGCGACAATGAAGAGCAGAAGCTACAGAAAAGACAGCAACAGCAATCACGACGTCGATGCCCGTCGCGATTAGAGGACCGCAAACTTCGTGGTACTAGCGGTGAAATATCACTCAAGAGTCCGCTATTGTCTGTAAGACATTACGACGGAAGTGATTTCGGGAAAACTACTGGCAGTGACGTTGCGGCTGTTGAAGAAATACTTAAAAACACTGATGATCTGACAACTACGGCTATTGCCACCCAGCAGTGTATTAACGAGCCATGGCTAATTGAGCCAGAGGATCCACGGATTAATTTTATCTATTTACGTACTACGGGTTTCGCTATAAATGCCGATAATATTGCTGATTGTAATACGCTCAATAGAATAATTGTATACTCAGCAATCAACACTAAAGATAAAAGTGTAATTTGTCCTGAAACCAGGAGTAATAACGATGGCAATAATAGTCATAATAGTAAAAATAATGATAATAATAATTATAATAAAAATAAAAAAAATAATATTAATAATAATTCTAAAACGGTGGAATTTTTTAGTGGCGGATGGAATCATACGTCCGCGACAATTACCGCTGACGGAATGTCTTCATTTATTCCCAGCTCGCCTATTACACAACAGCATGCGAGGAGTTTTGTAGTTGAATTTATCCAAAAAGAGCCCGGCACTTATTCTGTCATGTGGATTGCTATCTCAAAGAGCGCTCGCGCAGCTACGGATACACATTATTTCAATACTGACGGTGATAATAGTGCCGGTAATATTTTTTCAATGGTCCCTCCGATTGAAGATTGTCCATACAGGTAATTAAACAGACATTTATCCACTTGATTTTATATTTTATTATTTAAGGGGGTATTTTGGTTTAGAAATCTAAATTTTAGGCATTTTTCAAACTAACATAAAAAAAAAAAAATGAAAAACATTTTTAGTATCCGTTTTTTATATGTTTATTAACATTTCAAGAATATAAAAAAAAAAAAATGATAAATTTGAGAAATTACAGGCCGGTGAAGTGGGGGCTACAAAAAAATTTTTTTTTATCCCTTTTTTTTTATCTTTTTGAATTTTTTATCTTTCGAATTTTGAAAAATCCATTTAGGGACATATTTTTAAGGGTCTAAACTTTGAAAATATGCAAAAAAAATCGATTTTTTCAAATTTCTAGACCAGAATACCCCCTTAAAACTTTTAACAATTATTAATTACCTCTGTTTTTTATTGATTGATTGCAGATGTCCAGAGATAAAAGCCTGTATAAGTTCTGTTCTGTGGTGCGACGGAATAAAACACTGTCCATCGGGTTTCGACGAAGAAGAAATTAACTGTTCATATCGCTTCGGGGTAACTCTACTCTACGTTGCGGTGGGAGCGGGTATTCTGGGAGTATTCTTGGTTCTCCTTTTGGCGACAGGTTGCCTCAAGTACTGCTTATATCGGCACAAAATACGAACAAAGAAGAAGAAGAAAAAGAAGAAAAACAGTTTGAACTCACTGAACGTCAACAACATTCACGTTAATCACATGCATCACCATCATAATAACGGGTTAACGAGTAGTAGTCAATTGCAAAGCGGCGGTGGTGGTGCTGGTGGCCAATACAATATCACTAGTCATCCGCAAGATTTATACACCAGTGATAATTACGGTAAAGATAGCATCTGTTGACAATACGCCATAGCCAATGTCGAAACAACCGTATAATTAATATTATTATTATTGTTGTCACAATAGTATTAATAATGGTATCATCAACAATGAAATCAATTATTGTTTTTGTTATTATTATTATTATTATTATTATTATTATTATTATTATTGGTATAAAATAACTGATTATAATATTCGATGATAATTCTAAATACAAAGCAATGATAATTGGATAATTTGTTTCAACTTAAAAATTTAATAGGCAATAGCTTATATAACTATTATAAATATAATATATATGTATATATAAATATATACATTATACATAAAGGTGGGATAGAAGAAAATTTATTGGATAATAGTTATTTTTTCTTAATGAGATAATTGAATAAATAATATTTGCAATACATAAGCCGGCTATCGAGTGGAATATATCGACGCAACTAATTGCGACACCATACGCATTTAGTTTGCTAAGTACATACCAATTTATTAAGCTTTTGTACATTATACATATATACATTCTTATATATACGTATGACGAGGATAAATAATAATAATAAAAAAAAAAAAAAACAAAAAAAAAAAAAGAAGAAATATGTGCCAAAATAATATTTTACAGATTGTCGTCACGAGCCTTACACGGGCTTGATGGCTGCAGAATAATATATTATATACCATACTAACTTGATTTATTAAATATTCGCGTGTGCGATTAATGTTTTAACGAAAATAGATTGTCATTATATCAATGGATTATAGGAAACAAGTAAGCAGCCAACCAAAAAATGGATGGAGGTTAAATAAAAATTCTATACAAGCTGATATTGATAAGAAGAAAGGGGGATAATAAAATAAACAAGTATATTATTATTATTATTATTATTATTATTATTTTATTATATAATACAATTAATCTAAGATTAGATGCTATATTTGGTTGTGAGTGAACTAGTCTAAGTGTGTATAAGAATTTATAATGTTTAAAAAAATGGTATCACGCTCAACTGTAAATTATTATTATTACTGATAATGATTTAATATATAACCAACGGAGGGTTAATTAAGATAGCAATTTATGAAGAGTAAAAAGTTAGAATTATAATGTGAATCGAATAACTAATAAAAGCAATCAAGACTGCGCGCGTGCGACAAGCTAATAAAATTCTAATACTTATTATTTGAGTATTATCCCAGGACCAAACAAAGTTAAACTCATCAAACAAAATTTACAATTTTTTGATATTAAATTTTTTTACGGTACACTTGTAAGATACGTTGTCATTTTTTCGAGGTCCAATTTCATTTTAAATTATTTTACGAAGACACGATACAATTTTTTAGCGCAATAGAGCCATTAACTTATTACTTTATAAGAATGAAAGTTGAAGTAACTGAATGGACGGATAGAAGAAGTATATACTTATATGATTGTGTATAAATTTGGGAATCCCAAGTAATTCGGTGCGCGCGCAACCTTAAATGATGCGCCGTCGTAGTAGCAATCGACTTTTGATTTATTTTGCTGGGAGTTTAACACAAATACGTAAATGCACACCAAAACACTGCACACTCAATACACACGCTGGATCATATATATATATGTATATATGTAATTGAAATGCGAACACAAGATCCGCGCATGCTGTGATAGAATTAAGCGCGTGTCAACAATCTGAATGTGTAGTTGTATATATATGTATACATATACTAAAGAGAAGAGAAGAGAAGAGAAGAGAACGTTGATTTATTGCATCGCGTTAATGGTATTTACTATTACCATTTCCATTACTACATTTACAGTAACCAGTAGTTGCCGCGCCGCTACTGTTAGAAGATATGATGAATGTACGTGACAATTGCACTGCAACAAAAATTTAAATCGGCTTGATATAAATTCGATTTCAAGCGATTTTTTTTTCTTTTTTTTCTACCAGATTGCAGAGGAAACATTCCGAGTTATTTATCATTTTAACTTTTTAAAATCGATGCATTCCATTTAAATATTAGTCGTTCCCGTAACGAACTACCTACCAATGGAGGCACATATATATATATATAAATATATACGTGTTACTGCTCTCCAATTTATTTTACTACACTCTAATCTATGGACTATATTTTTTACTATAAAGTAATAATTATTGATAATCTAGACTTGTATTATTAATTATATATATTTGCTATTGTATAGATTATATATACTAAATTGTTAACATAATATCCATTATTTGATGATAATTATTTATTTATTTACTGTGACATTATCTACGGCTGTTTATTTTTTACGGCTGTTAATTTTTATACAATTGTAGTTGTGTGAAGTATAGTATTTTATTAATAGAAGTAATAATAAATAATAATGATTGTTATTATAATTATTATGACAACTATTACAATGATAAACGACCATTGGGGTTTAAAATATTAAGTACATAAACAATATCATGATAATGATAAGAACGAATAATAAATAACTGCACCGTGATAGGCAAATATTTATATATACTTATATGTAACTACACATGCATGTACGTATAGCACTATTAAATGAGTTTGTATTTTGTAGATGAATTGCGCGCGCGATTATTTCAGGGCGTTTTTAACTAATATAAGTTAATAATTAAATTTAAACATAGGTTTTAATGATAATGATAATTGATAATAAAGAGTAAGATATAAAAAGTAAATAAATAAATCAACAGTGAATATTTGAGTCAGCGTGTGGCCTTGATTCAACGATCATTTTTAATTATTTAATAAATATAAATATTGATATAACAACACAATACTTATGTGATGTACTGTAATATCCGTGTTTATAGTTTTAATAAAATATTACAGCGTTAAAAAATATATTATTATTCTTCTTAAGAACATTTTCTATCGGTATCCTTTTTTTTTTTAATTTTTTTAAATAATCTTAATCGCTTTTCATTCCAACAATTGAAAGAAGAGATGAATACATTTTCAATCGGCCATTTTGAATCGCCGTTCTCACCTCATAATTTATTTGTTGAATTTTATTCAACTGCTGATCAATACAATTTATAATTAAGCTTCTTTATAATTTATGAAGTGGTAAAATTGTAATTATTACTTTAATTTTTTTTTTTTTCAACACTTAAAATTATAATATTGCGGTTATATTTTATAATGAAAATTAAATTAGCCGACATTTAAAAATTTTTATAATTTTTTTTATTCAAGAATTTATTACAAAAAAATTAGAAGAAAAAAATTCACGTGTAGAAAATTTGAAAAATTGTACGTGCAATTAAAAAAATTTTCTTTTACTCGTAATTTAATTGTTGGAAAAAAAAAAATTATTTAACATTGGCTAATTTATAATACTAAAGTTTAATAATTAAATTAGAACAAAAAAATATTTTTTAAAAATTGCACTTAATAGTTTTTAAAATTTTTTACAAGTGAAATTTTTTTTTTTTTATTTTTTTGTAATGATTTCTTCAATAAAAAAAAATTCTAAAAATTTTTAGATGTCGGCTAACTTAATTTTCATGGCTAATTTTGGTATTATATTTTATAACCCGTTGAATTTATTAAATAAAGTAGTGGGAGGGAGGACCGTCTGAAAATCGCCTTAGTATTAATTTTTTATGCCTAAAGTTAGGTGGCGAAATGAACTTATGATTATTAGATGTGCTTTTGTTTTATGCATGTGGTATGTGGTTCATAATGTGTGTGTGTGTGTGTGTGTGCACAGAGGATCCATAGGATATGTCCAATAATGAAGTTAATAACAGTGATTCTGAAATATCGCCCTCGAAAGTGCCCCAGCTGACGAGGTTGCCCGAGTACGATGATGACGGGGATGAAATTGCGGCCGGGGCTTGGGGTATTTTGTCTAAAAGGTTTCCCAACACCGCTCATGTTTTATGCGAATTAAATGAGGTTATCAATCATTCCCAAATTACGCTTTCGCAGTTTCGGAATACTGTTTCTTCATTTCAAATAGGTAAATAAATTTTTAGAACCCGTATAATAATTTAAAATACCCTTTTTAGCTATTTTATAATATAAATCATTTCACAGATGGTTCAAATGAAAATATCCCCGTAAAAAAATGTAAAAAGCTAAGTGATTGTAAATTATTCACACGGGACGCCAGTGTTTCAAGTAATATTTTAACATTTTATTCTTTTATGCTAATTTAACTTTTCTGTGTGAGGTTTTTTTTTTTTTAACTTTTTTTTAGCGATTGAAACTCAAACGACTATTGAGGGTGCCAATCGGGGGAATATTTTCAAAGCGCCTGATTGTCGGAAATCGATAAAGAATGCCTGTGTCTCTACTAACATCGATTGTTTGCCGGAAGCTCTATCAACTCAGTCAATAGAAGATACTGATGATACTGATGATGATGATGATGATGATGATATTGATGAAGATGATAATGATGAGGGAGGCTATGGTAAAAAAGAAACACTGTACTCTTCATTTGACTCGCTCTTTTACAATTGCGGCTCATACGATCTAAGATATTCAAGAGCCAACGCGAAAGCTTCAATAGACGCAGTTGGTATATTAAAATTCTTTAATCAGCTAGAGTACCTTTTTTTAAGCTATTGAATTTAAAGTTTGAAATACCTATTCAGGAGATCAAAAGAGAGTTACTGCAAAGTCTGGGCTGTTTCGAATTGAAAAAACTCATACGTTTGTTAAGGATGATTCAGTAAACTGTATAGCTGCTGATAAAAGGATTCCAGCTGCGATTACGAGGCACGAAGTAACAATTACGAGTGGTGAATCGAGCACGTCATCGAAGGAAGACAATACCGGAACATTGAGTCCGACAATTACGACCAAGGACGTGGTATTCAAACCGGTCGAGGGAAGAATATCAACGCCAGTGGATGATAGATTGATTACGGCCATTAGGGAGCCTCCTACTTCACCCCAAACAGAAAGTATCCACCCGTCACGTGAAACTAGTAGGCTGTCTACTCCAATAAATGAACAACAAAATTCGCTACTAAATAATCCATCTATCCGGCCTCGGGTTTTGCGAGTCTCTTCGATTCCCATCAGTCAAAATCTGGCTAAAAGTATTTATCATAAATATTTTATTAGCTTACTCACTCAAACATTTCTTCTGCAATATCGATTTTTCGCTATTTCAGTATCTCCCAAAAAGCAATCACGTATTCCACGTAAATCTCCGAGGAAAGATACTTAGCAATAAGTATGTCCTTTTAATGAAATATTAAAACTTTATAATAGTTAGATTTTTCGGACAATGCGCTGAATTTTCAACTTGTTACTATAATAGCGTCCTCATTAAAAGACTACTTTAAAGTTAATTGAATAGTAAAGGCTCGAAAAAGGTTCAGGAAGCTCTTTTATCTCTAATTTCGTACACAGAAAAAAAGGTTCACTTGAGTCAAGATAATATTTTTCTTCCTAATTATTTTCTTGAGAAAAAAAAATTTTTTTTTTTGACAAGAAATTTCACTTATTCCAACAAAATTAATTCTCTTGCTTTGAGAAATACGTATCTTGATCCAAGAAAATTTATTTAAGTCAAGTAAAATCTTGTTTTTTTTTTTTGAGAAAATTTCTCTGTTGCTCCAAAAAATTAAATATAAAGATAGAAGTAAATTTTCATTAATATTTTTATTGATTAATATGTTAAATGGAAAGATTAAATAATATTGAATGATTTTTTTTCATTCAATATTTATAATTGCACGCTAAAATAATATAAAATAGGTATCAAATATTCAAGAGAAAAATTTTCTCAAGGTGACAAATTTTCTAAAGCCAAGAATTTTGTTCTCCAGTCAAGAAATTTTTCTTTCTGTGTACTAATTTTCGATTGGTTGGCTTTTATAATTAAGCCTGAAACCACAGTGAGAAAAAAAAAAAATACTTTTATTAAGAAAATTTTCTTGATACAAGAATTTATGTTTTTGAAAATTTTCAAGAATATTTATTCTTAGCTCAAGAAATTGCTAAATTAATTGAAATAATTTTTACTTAATTTAAATAAAGCTATTCTTTTGTTTATCTATTATCCAAAGATAAATTTTGATGTTCTTCTCTTCAGAAATTAATAATAGAATATTTGATCATCAACGAGTTTCTTGACCCAAGAAATTGTTAATTGAGTAAAAGTATTTTTTTTTCTCCCAAGAATTTTGTTCTCCAGTCAAGAAGTTTTTCTTTCTGTGTACTAATTTTCGATTGGTTGGCTTTTATAATTAAGCCTGAAACCACAGTGAGGAAAAAAAAAAATACTTTTATTAAGAAAATTTTCTTGATACAAGAATTTATGTTTTTGAAAATTTTCAAGAATATTTATTCTTAGCTCAAGAAATTGCTAAATTAATTGAAATAATTTTTACTTAATTTAAATAAAGCTATTCTTTTGTTTATCTATTATCCAAAGATAAATTTTGATGTTCTTCTCTTCAGAAATTAATAATAGAATATTTGATCATCAACGAGTTTCTTGACCCAAGAAATTGTTAATTGAGTAAAAGTATTTTTTTTTTTCTCAGTGCATTGGAAGTAAATTTAATTGCACAAGTTAATGAGCATCCAGATAATATAAAAGGACGCTTTTAACCTTTTGGCGTTCAGTACACCAATAAAGACTAGTTTACACCGGGTAAATGAACTTAGCTCACCCATAAATGAAAGTAAAGTTAAGTTTTCATAACGTGTTTGTGACAAGTTTTTAATTCTTAACATCGTCCGAACAAAACTTTAGAAGAATAAATAATAAAATAAAAAAATATTCATGGAATTTTAGTAACAATCCAGGGAAGTCTTCCCGTCTTCTTAAAAGCCCAGTAGTCGTAAGCAAGTTTAACAATTATCAGAACTATGATAAGTGCCAAAATAACATTTAGAACGTCAAGCGGATAGAATGATAACCAAGCTTCTTCATCATATATTATACATATTTCCGTTCTAGTTAAATCCTTTATAGGTTTATTTAAAACTTTGTTATGTTCGCTGTTAGATAAAGTTGACGTCGAGTTACATCTAATGTCATTTATGTCTTTAAATATATTTGTATACTTAATTAACAGATCCTAGAAATAGTTTATTTATTTTTAATTTAACTGATTAATCGATTGGTTTACTTTTTCATTTACCTGAAAGCCAGGAGTGAAGAAGCAGTCGCACGTCCAAGGATTTTCTCCTAAAAAAATACTCACTGCAGTCACACTGTTATGCAGAGCATTTTCCAGAGCGTAAGTAGGTAACTAAAATAATTTTCAAGTAATAATAATAATAATAGTCATGGTGGATAATTTTTTAAAAATATAACTGCTAAAATAAATCATTTACATCTGTAAGTTTATTTCCTCTTAAACTGAATAATCGAAAGTGCTCGAGCCAATAGGATCCGTCTAATTGAGCAATTGATCCAATTGAATTATCATCCAAATAAAGATCGAGAACCTGTCTATAAACGGGATTCTCTATAAGCGGACTTAAATCACTGATCTAAAATGAAAAAAATATAAATAAATTCGTTTTATTATTTAAACAAGGCTTGAATAATTAAATACTTTGTTGCCGTTCAGATATAGCTTGGTTGTATTTTCAGGGATAAATTTAGGCATCTCGGAAAGACCCAGATAGCTGCAATTGACGGTAATAAATGCCATGAGCTGTGATCTCTGTTGAAAATTTTGCTCCCGTCGGTTCAAATGTCCTCCAATTACGTAGACGAGTTTACACTTGCAGGGAGTTTGTTGACACTCTTGTTTTAGAGTCTACCTTGGATTAATTAAACGTAAAAATTTATGAAAATTAAGTTAGCCGACATCTGAAAATTTTTAGAAATTTTTTTATTGGAAAATTATTACATAAAGAAGAAAATAAAAAATTTCACTTGTAAAAAGCTTGAAAAACTATCAGTGCAATTTTTTAAAAATATTTTTCAGTTTTTATTTAATAAATAAAAAATAATTAAAAAATTGAAAAAGTCGGCTAACTTTAGGATTATGAAAATTTAATTGTTTTACAGTGACTTAATTTTTTTATCAGTTTCATCACAAAGAATCAAAGTTTCATTTCTTACAAAAGTTTGCAAAACAAAGAAAAAATCAGACAACAAAATTTAAGAGATTTAAACAATAAATATTTAATTATTAATAAAAGTTATTTACCGTTAGAATGTTAATCACGGCGATAAGAGAGCGACTTGCATAAGGCTCAGAACACTGCAATTTATCTCTATCAACGACTCTTTTTATCAGAGAAGAATAATTAGCATAATTTATTATCCAAAACATATTTTCGTCGCATTTCCAAGGATTTCCGGCTAAATAAACAGAATAATCGAGTGCTGGTGTCAACGACGACGAAGACAGTACTCTCGGATTAATCACTGTCAATGAATTATTCCTCAAGTCTACAGTCCGTAGCGCCGGTAAATTTTTAAAGCAGCCGTCTGGCAGATAACGGAGCTTCGTCCCAGTGATATGAATTCTCTATAAATTTAAAATCATTAGATTTTTAAAATAATACCCTAATACTCTAATAACCAGCTAATAATAATAATAATAATAATAATAATAATAATAATAATAATAATAATAATAATGACATATTACTTTAAGTTGAGTAGCTACCGGTGGAAACGCACTAGTAATTTTCGTCAAATTACCATTGATTACGATCAGCTCAATAGTATTGTAGAATTTAGTTAACATTCTATTAGCGTCGAATAATAATTCCGATGTGTTACAAATCGTTAATAACCAGACGTCATTTGGGCTGCCGAAATAATTGATAATTAAAACGCGCTGGCACTGATCAATTAATAATAATTAGATTATTGCATATATGTCGGCTATGATGATGATGCTAATGATGGTGATAATGATCAACAGTTGTGGGTGTATATTTACTTTATCCCTAGTTCATTTGCATAATTATTATCATTTCGATTATTATTGCCCCAGCAGGATAATGCTCGAGTATTATTTGTCGAAATACAATCGTAATTGGAGGCTTCTTTGTGCTGCTCGGTGATTGTCGTGCATGGATTTTTATCTCCGCTCATTGTCACGGCATTTATTGCCGACAAAAGTACCAAAAAGTAAAGCATCTTGAAATAAAATAAAATGAATCAGCATTTAGATAAAAATTTAAATGGAAATTAAGTTAGCCGACACTTGAAAATTTTTTTATTCAAAAAATTGACTACAAAAAAAAAAAAAAAATTTCACTTGTAAAAAACTTTAAAAACTGTAAGTACAATTTTTTAAAAATATTTTTTTTGTTCTAATTTAATTATTAAAAAAAATCAAAAAATTACAAATGTCGGCTAACTTTATTAGTATCATAAAATTTAATAGTTTATATTGTATCACTGATAGAAGGATTTATTTGTATTAAAAAATATTTCCTAGTATTAAATATTAATAAATATTTTTAAATACCAAGAAATATTTGTTAAGGACTAAAAAGTCGTCTCTAATAAATGATTTGTTAAATAATAAATATTTTTAACTATAAACAAATCCTTCTATCAGTGTAGGTATACAACTTCTATTGATATGAATAGTCTTTTAATGAATAAGTAGTTCTGATTCTGTTTTATTTCTCAAGAGCAGTGTCAAGACTACGGTGAATAATATTACTGAATTAGTTGTAACAGTGTTTGTTGAACAACTTAGAATGCTAAGTAAAGACACTTGGGTGAATAGTGTGCCAACTATTTCTAATCCTTGAGTTTCAAAATTATTTATTTAGCATATTATTCTCTCGCGTTAAATTCCAACCAGAATGTATAACTCTTCTTATTTAAATACGCACGCGCGTATTGTTTATTCACCACAGCTTTATTATGCACGTTCTTTATATTAATAATTAGGTACACAAGGTACGTAATATCACGTGGCTTTTTTTTTTTTATAACTTATAAGTATTGTGTCTATAACTGTCCCGAGAAACAGATGTTATTTTGATAGTAATCTCATCATAATAAGAATATCTAATTATATTCAAATTTATACAAACATATCTTCCTACCATACCCAATAATATTTCACCTTAATTATAATCAGATTTAACTGTAATCAAACACGCGAGCAAAAAAATATTTTAATACCGCGATTAAATCATTTTTTTTCGAGCTTTCGTGTCCTATTATTTTTATTACTTACCGATCCCATGTCGCTGATATTCCTCCGACTGTTTAATTTATAAACTTTTATCTTTGCTCTGAGAATTTACTTAATCAGAGTACAGGAAGAGTAATTACTGTGGCTCACGGTTACATTTGCAGACTGATTGTTATTTTATTTCAAAGTCAAATCTGATATCTTCTTCACACTCCTCAGGTAATTTTTAAATTTTTACCGGCGCTCTCTGCTTCATTTTCAAGAGTCGATAATTTATCGACGCGCATGTAGATAAAAATGATTTTTTTATTTTCAAATCTTCCATCTTGAAACGATTTTAATTAGTTGAAGATATATAATTGAAGTAAAAGACTAATCAACACTTGTTGAAGAAACATGACATTGAAGTTAGCAATTACTTGATTATTTTTTAATTTCTTTTTAACAAATGAATTTCTTCCGAAAAATTATTTATAAAAAATTGCATTTTTTATTGTTTTAAATTTCTACATGTCAATTTTTTTTTCCTAATTTTTTTTTATCATAATTTACTTGTTAAAAAAATTCTTAAAATTATCAAATGTCTGCTAAATTAATTTTCATTGATAAAGTTAGTCGACGATTTTAATTTTTTTTAATAATTAAATTAGAACAAAAAAAGATTTTTAAAAAATTGCACTTACAGTTTTTAAAGTTTTTTACAAGTGAAATTTTTTTTTTTAATCATTTTTTCAATAAAAAAAAAAATTCTAAAAATTTTTAAATGTCGGCCAACTTAATTTTCATTTTTCATTGAAGAAATCTGAAAATGAAAGACTAATTAATTTGTTATGGAAATATTTGGAGTAGAAATGAAAAGTTTCAGTCACGTTAGGATTTTAGACCCCGTGACTAATGAAAGTTTAAGAAAAAAAAAAAAGTAGTCCAATTTACTCGGGCAACTGGATCCTCGTAAGTATTCCATCGCGTGCGTGCAGATCGGACCAACAATCTGTGTAAAAACAAAATGAGTATTAAATATATGTATGTAAAAAAAAGGTAAGTGACATAGGGGCATATATGGAAGTAGAAATAAATATAAAATAAAAAATATTAGAGAGAAGGTGAGTGGGTATGGATACAATATCCACGGTGGATAGGACGGACCGATGGGCAGACGGATAATGTAAGTATAATATGATAGACAGAGAGAACAGAGAAGCTAATACAAAATACAAGTGGAAATGTAACTACAGCTATGCTACAGTCCACAGATATAGCGGAGAGGTAGTAAGTTTACGGTGGTGGGAGAATATAGCGGGTTTCACGATTATGTAGGTAATAGTCAGTGGTGAGGCCGCCTCGCGGGCCGTCGACAGTGTTGAAGTTGAATTAACAGGTGTCTCGTTCTCTATCAACAAGTTATCAATAGCTTTATCGGTGTTACTTAGCTCCGTTGCTGGAATTTATAAATTTTTATATACTCACCGTCGTAATAAAAAATAATTATAAATAAATACTGTATTTATTTATTTATTATATTGTACATCTAGTAATAAACGTGTCAAATAACATGATGTCGGAAACTGTGGTGACGGTCCAAGATGGTTCTACCAACAATGCAAACAATCCTCGTCAAGGGCCGACCGTTAAAACAGAACCCGGACAGCAGAGTCTCTTCGCTGGGATCACACTCAATATACCTTACTTCAAATCCATTCCTGGAATTGTAAAGCTCGTCCAATTGGTAACTATTATTTATAATTCAATACTACGTACTGACTATTGTTTACTGTGTATTTAACTAATTTGTCTCCAGTGTCTTATTGTTTTTTTCAGGTAATATAAATACTTGACACAAATGTATTTGTAACTTAATCCTGATTATGATAATGATAAAAAATAATCTGCTATCTGATGGCTTCTATTATTATTAATTCAAGATTATTTAGATTAATATTTAATTCGGAAAATTTATTCGATATCAACCAATAAGTGCCTTATTTACCTTGAAAAAAAAAAAAAAAAAAATGGCAATAACGATTGCGCAATGATACACTTGGATGTTATCATACCTGTTGAGATTTTTTTCGTTAATGAGTCAGGGAAATGATGGAGCTATTATAAATAGAAATATTATTTAATTTATTCTGCTGTTTACGCAGTAAATTTTATTTTAATTTATAACCTTGGAGTATAATTTATAAAAAAACATGTTTTTAACGAAAAAAAATTGAGTGAGTTTAAAAAATGCATGCGAGTTATTTTATAATACTAAAGTTAGCCGATTTTTATTTTTTGATTTATTTTTTAATAATTAAATTATAACAAAAAAGTATTTTTTAAAGATTGCACTTACAGTTTTTAAAGTTTTTTACAAGTGAAATTTTTTTTTTTTATTTTTTTGTTATCATTTTTTCAATAAAAAAAAATTCTATAAATTTTTAGATGTCGGCTAACTTAATTTTCATGTTATTTTTTATAACAATATGCATTTTTAATAAAATTTTCTTACTCTACAATGAACTTTTGGGTAAACAAATAATTGATGGTTTCTATTTTCAGTGTCATAATTTTTTGGGCAGCTCAGCAATTTATTATACACGTGTACGTTTTGTTAAACGCCCTGAATATTGGCTCGGATATAATTCTTGTACTGTTTTTAGCTGGAGCTCAAAACATTACGATTAACCGCTTACGCTGGCACTATTTAATGCTGAATAGTCATATTTATTTTTTTTGTCAATCTTTATTACTACATTTTTAGTCTATCCACTAGGCTAGTAATATTAAACTGACACTAATCTGATCAAAATCCGATTGTGGTGTCTTATAATTAGCTCACTCGATCAATTTTTTATTTCTAGTCGCTTATTTTTTTCTTTTTTCTACCAAGTTCTATTATATTATTTCAATTACATTAAATTTATTTAAGTATGCTGGTTTTTTATTGTTAATATTATATCGGAGGTAAATTTAATCACGTGACACTAAGTATTCTTAAAGCGTTTTAAATAAGTCAACACTGCAGTGCTCATTCTGTGTGACGTAGTCGTGACTCTAAGCGGTCGTTGCATTTCTTTGGGTTCCGTATTTTCTAGCGGGCAATGTCCTCAAGAAAAAAAATATTTATATAATACAAAGCGTAAAAATACGGCGTGAAATATTTTATTTTTTTATTCATCATAATAAGTTGGAACATTTTTATTTCTTCTTTCAATAAATCTAAATCTAATATTTAAAAAAGGCCATTCGGCAGCCGAAATGGAAGTAGATTTCATAAATAAAGATGAAAATATATATAGATTTATAGGAGATATATTGGACAAATCAATCGAAGAAACGACTGCAAGAGTAAAATTTCATTGAAACCTACAGACGAATAGGTTATTTTAAGTTTAGAAAAATGAAATGGTACGAAAATTAAAGCTGGTTTAATGGGCTTTAAAATGCAATTTACAAAAATTCGATAAGTTATTTCATTCAAAAGTTATGCGCGAAAGAATCAGCCAAAAAAATGAATTTTTAGGATTTTGAAAATTTTGAAACCCTGTAATTTATGAACTACTTGACCGATTAAGCTCATCTTTGAACTTGGCCTTGGTATTCGTCTAAAAATGAAGTATGTTGAGTTTGGAAAGGATCCATTATGAATTAGAGACGCTATCGTCCGGATAAGCCGCGTTATATCGTATATATATATATATATATATATATATATATATATATATATATATAAACTTTTGAACTAATGGCATTTTCTGAACCAGCCTGACGAACTGAGTCAGAAAATAGCAAAATTTTTCAAAAGTTGCGTCATGAGGACAAATGCAATAGTTAGATTTCTATAAAATCTACTAAAAATAAACCTGCAAAGATTTAAAAATTTCTTCTCATTTAATTATTTAATTTAATTTATTTAAATATATAAAAATAGTACGCATGCTATTGAGAGTCATTAATAAAACCGAATGATATTGTATTTTATTATGTATGTATATTT